TCATGGACTTTCCTGTCTGGGACTGTCTTTGAACCAAGATCCTAAGAGCTCAGCCTCCTGAGTAGCTAGGGATACAGGCCTGAGCCACTGGCACCTGGCCAACTTCTCTGTTTTAATAAAAAAATACTTTCAACATGATTTTTGGACATTTACATATACAGCCCACCATATAGTGTTAGCTAGATCATTATTACTAATTAATATTTTTAATATTTGCTTTTAAGTAGGTCAGAAACAGTTCTTCAGGAATTGACTTAGCTAAGTTTTACAACAGAACTAAGTGTTTCATATTTATAGTCCATAGTACTATTTCTCTTAGATAATAGATAATTTTACCTTTTCTATAGAAAAGTATTCCCTAGGCTTTTTCCTCACTTTCAAGTAATTGAAGGGATATTTTCCCTCATCTGTTTTGTAATTAAATAGAATGTAATTAATGTGGTATCCTTTGGAACTTAGCATTTTCCTCAAAGAATCATCAACTCTTTGAACTATGAATTAGGATAGAAAACACAAAATATACCTTAACATAGGGTTTTGTTGTGGACTGCTATATTTCTCTCCAGGTTTTTTTTTTTTTTTTTTGGTTGGTTGGTCATGGGGCTTGAACTCTGGGCCTGTGCCCTGTACCTGAGCTCTTCAGCTCAAAGTGAGTGCTCTACCACTTGAGCCACAGCGCCACTTACAGTTTTTTGGTGGTTAATTGGACATAAGAGTCTCATGGATTTTCCTGCCTGGGCTGGCTTTGAACCGTGATTCTCAGATCTCAGTCTCCTGAGTAGCTAGGATTACAGACATGAGCCGCCATCACCCGACTTCCAGTTTTATTTTAAGAAGAGAGTTTTGTGGTATGATACTACAGCCACAAATTATCTGTGCTTGGTCTGCATTTTGGGTTAATGCTTTTTTCAGTGAAAAAACTTGTACTTTGATTTTTGTATCTGAGTATTTTATCTTTAAGAGTGTGAAGATTTTCTAGTTTTGAAAGTAATTAATAGATAATTCCTTAATAAATTTTGAAAAACATTTTTATTGTAAAGATGCTGTACAGAGGAGTTACAGTTACATGAGTAAGGTAATGAGTACATTTCTTGTTCTTAATAATTTTTTAAAACAATGTGCCTCAGATGGCCAGATGAGAATGTAAATTATGCAACCACTATAGAAATCAGTATGGAGGTTCCTCAAGGAATTAATACCTGGGAAGGTAGATGGAGGAGAGAGGTAACTGATTAAGATGCATTATATTAATAACTGAACATGTTAAAATCAAACCCTTTTACACAACTATTTGATGCTAATAAAGAAAAATGTAAAATGTAGCTTAAAAAAATAAAATAGAACTCATGTATGATTCAGGTATGCCATTCCTGTAGAAGCAGGGTCAGCATGGTCTCTCTCTGTACCAAGTACCAAGTTATGAAATCAGTCTATGTGTAAAGAAAATGTAGTATATATACAGTGTTGAGTATGATTCACCCATAAAGAAGAAATCATTTTATTTTAAGGAAAGTGGATGGGACTGGAGATAACTCATCATGTTAGACAATATCACTCAGAATCAGAAAGTCTCTGTCTCTGTCTGTCTCTGTCTCTCTCTCTCTCTGTCTCTCTCTCTCTCTCTCTAGTCTACTTTTCTCATGCAGACTCTAAACAAAAAAAGTCTTGAAAGTACAAGGGTTGAGAAGAGGTTGAGGAAAATATAAGGAACATAACATTTTGTGTAAGTAATATAAGCCTAAAAAGAATTGTGTGATGCTCATGTTTAGATGATATTTAAACATTTTGATAATATGGTAGAATATAATGCTTGTGGGTATATAGTACTTCTTAGCAAATAATGTAATTACCATAGACAATCTACTTTTGCTTTGTATGAATTGGTTAAAGTAGCATATTTTACAGCAATTTTTTAAGTTTCTAAGTGTATTGTTCATTGAATTTTTATATTTTTTATTTTTTGTGCCAGTCGTAGTGCGTAAACTCAGTGCCTGGGCGCTGTCCCTAAGCTGCTTTTGCTTTAGGCTAGTGCTTTACCACTTGAGGCACAGCTTCACTTCTGGCTTTTTTGGTAGATAAATGAAGATAGTAGTCCTCAGAGACTTTTTGACTGGGCTGGCTTGGAACTATGATCCTCAGATCTCAGCTTCCTGAGTAGTCAGGATTACAGGCATGAGTTACTAGCACCCAGTGAAGTTTTTTTTTTAAAGATAAAGTGGAATGCTAGTCTAGAGTGGAAAAACTGAGAAAGAAGCCCTGAATTCAAGCCCCAGTACTGGCATGCATGTGCCAGTATATATTCCCTCTCCCCCAATAGAAATCCTTAGTACAAAATATAGAATCATAACTGATGCAAATTACATTTTTCATGAGTATAAAATGAAAATTTTGTTGGAACAGATGTGGGTGGATATCCGTGTTCTAAAGTTACTGAGTTAATATATTTAAATTTGTTATAATTCCCTCTACTGCCTCCAGCTTCTTTTCAAAATTACTGGATATGGAAGCTTAAGTTAAATTCCATTAATCATCTTCCACCAAAATTTTAAAGCCATCATGAAATTTGAGCAACAGACTTTGAAAATATTGTACTGGAATATTATAACTTGCTTTGCTTTCTAATTGTTTCGTTTTTTAAAATCCTAAACTATAAACTAAAGCACACTAATAGTATGGTAGTCTTTATTTCTAAGGGTAATTTGATTCTAGTTATTTGACCTATTAAGAAATTTGAGAATATTTGGGGAGATTTTCGTTTTCTCCATTTGTTCTGCTTCATGAGCTTTCAGCATCTGTGGTTCCTTCTTACATATACCTGGAAAAATTTAACTTCTTAAGTAGTTAACCTGTCTTGTTAAGGATGTCATGAAGTTGGACCTATGGGTACATATATGAGAGGTGGTCTAGGACAGTTGTCTTGGTTAACAGCTGATGATAGAGAGAGGTGGAGATTCGGAGTTGTTTTTTTCCCCACCCAAGGCAATATTAGGGTTTAAACTCAGGATCTCTTGCTTGCTGGCAGATAACTTAGTACAATGAGCCACACCTCCAGCCTACTTTAATAATTTCTGCAGATAAGATCTAACTTTATTTCCCAGGGCCCACCTTCTTCCTACAACATCCCTCTGAAGCTGATACAACAGATTTGAGCCACTTAACTATTGATTGAGATGAGTGGTCTCACTAACATTTTTATGCCCAGGCTGGCCAGAAAACTTGGTCTCCCTTTGAGTAGCAGGGATTTCAGGTATGAGACATGATGTCATATTCTGGGGGCTTTAAAAAAGATTAATCTAAAAGATTGGAATGGAGATTTGTAACTCTAGGTGTTTGTAGAAATAAATAAATTGGACATTTTTGCCTGGGCTGACCCGGAATGGCAATTGTCCCAACATCACCTTCAAGTATAGCTGAGATGTCAGGTGTGAACCACTTGTCTAACTTTGTTGCATGTCATTCCTTGTGTGGATTTAATGTAATTTATTTTTCTAGTCTTATTTAAATGACATATTTAAATGACATTTGTACATTTTGATTTTGCAATATAATAGCATGCCATTTGAGCATATATGTGATTTTAGAATAAATTCATAAAAGTAGAATTGTTGAGTCAGATTACAGGGTAACTGCCTGAACATTCTCCTTAGGGCCCACCAGTTTCGTGTACCAGTTCAATGTGTATAAATTGCTTGCTTCCTCATTGTTAGCCACCAGAATATATTTGCCGATATTTGGGGATTTTGTTAATCTGTTAACTGAAAAATAGTATTTCATATTTGGGGATTTTGTTAATCTGTTAACTGAAAAATAGTATTTCATTATAGGTTATGTTTTCATTCCTCTTAGAGAGGAAAGTTCCATTTTTACATATATAACAATCACTTTTTTCCCTTTTTCAATTGTCACTGTCTTTTTTTTTCTGCTATAGGTATTGGTCTTGATAGAAACCCTGCTGAGAAAATTTGCCTTTTTGTGATGAGTTAACTATTGAGTTTTTTCAAATATATTTTTATTGTTGTTTTTTATTGTTATACACTAATATCATTCCTGTGATTGGATGTGTCATAATTTAGAAGGTCTTCATTAATTCTGTGGCATAAATTAATTCTGGGGGGAGAGAGGGAAGTCATGGAGTTTGAACTCAGGGCCTGAGTTGTTTTGCTCAAAGCCAGAGCCGATCCCTACCACTTGAGCCACAGCTCTGCTTCCACTATTTTTGATAGTTAATTGGACATAAGAGTCTAATGGATTGTTCTGCTCTGACTGGCTTTGAACTGTTATCCTCAGATCTCAGCCTTTTCAGTAGCTAGTATTACAGTCACAAGCCACCAGTGCCCAGCTATGTATTTTCTAATATTGAATGTTTTTGTAGTTTTATAGTTTGGTATTATCACATTTAAAAATGAAATTCTAAGTTTTAAGGATAACAGCAAGGTTGTCTAAATACCTTTTTTGTATAGATTATGTTTTTGTTGACTTGAATGCCATTTTATTAAATCTTAATCACTAGTACATTGGGTCTGTTTTTTTTGGCGGGGGGGAGTCCGGTCGTGGGGCCTGAACTCTGGGCCTGGGCACTGTCCGTCAGCTCTTCATCTAAGGCTAGCGCTCTACCACTGGAGCCACAGCGCCACTTCCGGCTTTTTTCTTTTTGCTTATATGGTGCTGAGGAATCAAACCCAGGGTCTCAGGCATGCAAGGCAAGTGCTCTACCACTGAGCTACCTTCTCAACCCCATGGGTCTGTTTTGTATATACTATTTAATATATTGTATGTTTTCAAGAAATGATGTTTGGGTGTAGCATATAAGATATATTAAGAAGGACTTTTTTTTTTCTTTATTATAGGGCATATTTCTTTAGTGCCTTCCTTGACCCAAGTGCTTTATATTGAATACTCACTTAACTGTATGCTATACTTTCCAAGTCAGTTTGTAACTGGGATTTATGGAACATGAAAGTATTTGTGGCTAAAATTCTTTCAACATTGTTTTTTCTTAGCTGTGATGCAGATCCATCAGCCCTAGCAAAATATGTTTTGGCTTTAGTAAAGAAAGACAAAAGTGAAAAAGAACTGAAGGCATTATGTATTGATCAGTTGGATGTATTTCTTCAGAAAGGTAAGATGTTCTGTTTTTAAATACTGTTTTCTTTTAATAAGTTATTTAAAATAAGATCCACGAATATTAAACTCAGTCTCAAATTATAGCAGAGATAAACAATATTATAACATATCCATAGATTATTTGAAATGGATATTTATTTTAAGGGTTTTTTTTAACATAAGTTAAAAGAATAAGAAAATGACTAAAATGGCTATTAAAAGATAATATTCCTTAGAAAATTACTTTGAATCTGCTTTTCAATGCAGATTATAATTTGTTTATATACTGTGTAGGCTATATTATGAAGACTAGTCATGACTTGAAGCCACTGACCTAGAAGCCTGATGATTAGACATAAGGAATTATGTAAATATTTTAGTAAATATTTTAATTAGAGGTGTTTTTTTTGCTTGGTTTTTAGAGACACAGATATTTGTAGAAAAACTTTTTGATGCTGTGAATACAAAGAGCTATCTGCCTCCCCCAGAGCAGCCATCATCAGGAAGCCTGAAGGTAGAATTTTTTCAGCACCAAGAAAAAGACATAAAAAAAGAAGAGGTATGAGTCTGTGTTATACTTAATCGGTTCTTTAAACACTTAAAAGATTAAGCTGAGGGTTCTGTTTTTGTTTGTTTGTTTTGTTTCTTTTCTTTTTTCCTTTTTTTTTTTTTTTTGCCTGTCTAAGGCTTGAACTTAGGTGAGTACTGTCCCTGACCTTTTTTGCTCAAGGCTAGCATTCTAACACTTGAGCCACAGCTCCACTTCCAGTTTTTTGGTAGTTTATTGGAGGTAAGAGTCTCATGGACTTTTCTGCCTAGGATGGCTTTGAACTGTTATCTTCAGCTCTCAGCCTCTTGAGTAGCTGAGTAGCTAACTGGGATTAATAGCATCATCCCAACTTCAGGGCTTCCGGCCCTCCTCCCCAATATTTTTGTATTTAGAATCCTCAGTATTAGGTTTAAAGTTTCTCCTAGTACCCATGGGATTCAGTGTGTGGTCATATTCATGGATATAACTTACTAAAGCAAAGCAAAACAAATGAGTCGGCAAAGGGAAAGGCATGGGAGATAAGAAGAAAATCTGCTGGAAAACAAGACAAAAAAAGTCTTTGGAGGTACTCAAGACACACTTACTTCCTTTAGCAATGAGTTGTGACAGCACATGTGAATGGAGGAAGCTTGTTTTGAGACTCATTACCCAATGTTTATATTTGGATTAGGCACCTACCCTGTTGGTACATATTTAGCATAAGCTATTGTTTTTATAATTCAAACACGATGAGCAATTCTAATGATGAAATGGAAGGAATCTTCCAGAAATCAAAGTTTTCAGAAGCCAGCTAAGGAGTAATGAATTTTAAGAAAGCTTTTCTAAGGATAATCTTAGGTCTGCTTTCAGCTTCTGTCTGTTAGGTGTACAGTATTAGCTATTTGTGTTTAGCAAAATAATTGCAATATCAGTAAATTTTTTGGCAGTTTTCTTTGATGCATTTAATAATTGGCTGCTTTTAAGTAGTCAAACACTAGACTCAGCAATAGAAATAGTTTCATTCTTCAAGAGAGTTTGACATTTTTTTGTTCCGTGTTATAATCTTCTTCACATATCCTTATTTAGTAGTCACATAGCCATCTCAATTTTATTCTTAAAAAGAAAATAGTTGTTGGCAATTGTTTTAACATTATTTTAACATTTTTTTTTGTATTCAGCCTAGCTTTAAACATCTTTTTTTTTTTTTTTCATTTTTTTTTTTTTATTGTAAAGCTACTATACAGAGGGTTACAGTTACATGAGTGAGGTAATGAGTACACTTCCTCTTGAACATTGTTACCCCCTCCATTGTTTTCCCCCTACCATCCCCTCCCTCCCTCCCTTCCCCGAGGTTCTTTTTTTTTTTTTTTTTGATTGTGATTAAATGATTACATAATTTCAAAGTCACAAGTTCATTCTAACTTCCCTGGAGCAAATTGTGTACCACAGTCTGTAATATATAACAGTGTTCACATGTTATATACCATATTTGTGATCAGCAGCATGGGGATATTTAGTAGTGGTTCAACCAGATGAGCGGGAGTTCTTTGTTTCTTAAGTCCTGTTAGTTTTGTCGTATCACCTAACCTTTTGGATTTAGCATCCACTTATGAGGGAGACCATGTACCGTTTGTCTCTTCGTTCTTGGCTTACCTCGCTCAACATGATTCCTTCTAGCTCCATCCATTTCCCTTCAAATGCCATTAGCTTTAAACATCTTAATTGAAATTTTGGCTTTGTATGTGACTATCCTGAGATATTGAAGACATTGCTACTCTCAGCCTCAGTTTATTCCACTTTGCAGTAGAAACACTAGAGTTGTAGTGTGGAATAAGTAAAATAATACATAAAATACTTGGCAAAGTAGGGGGTAGGAAGTCGTAAGTGGTAAATTGCTTGGCTAGTAAGTGTGTAGACATACACACATGCATGTGTAAACACACACATACACCATTTAATTTCTCACCAGAGACCAGAAGTGTAACTTAATGACAATGTTTCATACCCAGTAGTATAGTATAGTATAGGAGATACATTACTAAGACATACAGTAGATAGCATTTGGCAGTTGCTTATGATGCCACATGGAGATATGCAGTAATTAGTTAGGTTTTTTTCATTGAGTTTGGGTTGGTTCCAATTTTGTTTTTATAAATTACCTGAGGTATTTCTTCCCCTTCCCTGTTTCTAGTTTCTTCCCTTTTTTGGGCAGTAGAATCTTTCTATTTTGCCTAGACTGATCTGAAACTCTTGTGCTGGTTGATCCTCCAACTTCAGCCTCCTGGGTAGCAAGCATGTTTATCTAGCTTTACGCTATATTTTAATTCTCAGAAAATCTTTAGTAACACAGACCCTTGATTTAAGAAACAGTCTTTTTTCAATACAGCTTAATGATACAACTTCAGTGTTGTATCTGTTGCAGAAATAATACATCATCACAATTTTCTTGACTGTTCTTGGAGGTCTAATTTTTTGCAATTATTAAAATGCCAGATGGCAGTGTAGGTTTAAAATGCTATGGGTATGAAAACTTACCAGTCAGATACACATTCTTCAGGATATGGATATTTACCCACATAAAATTACTTGCAGGGAAAGATAAAGGAGAAAATGTGTCAAGGGAGTTGGGTATGCATGTATTTTTAGAAGGCTGAGAAAGGAGGAATGTGAGTTCTAAGCTAGCCTGGACTACATAGTAAGACCCTGTCTCAAAAAAAGGACCTCAGTAGGGTTGTATTGTCTATCCAATCGTGGCTCATACCTGTAATCTTAGTTACTCAAAAGGTTAGGCATCAGGAGGATCATCATGATTTAAGACCACCCCTAGCAAAAAGTTAAATCTCATTGTAACCAGTGAAAAGCTGCTGTCATGGTAGGCACCTACGTAGGAGACATACATAGACGTCTAGATCAGCCTTGGCAAAAATGCAAGACCCTGTTTAAAAATTGACTAACGCAATTCTGGAGGCATGGCTCAAATGATGGGGAGTGCCTGCCTGGCAAGCTCAATGTCCCGAGATCAAATTCTACTGTCCCTACTTCCTGCAAGAAGTACAATCTTAAGCCCTAAGATTTTTACAGAAGCTATTGTCAATATTTCTTGAATCTTAACTTCCAATTCTCTTTTTGTAATCATACCTTAATATCATATAGAATCAGTTTTCTGGTTAGTACAGTCTAGACAGCAGAGTAGCACTGATCACAAGGGAATGTTTCCTATGATTACTTCCTAGTAGTTTTATAAGGCATTCTTGTCATGATGCTAAGAAACTGGGGTTACACGGAAAACTATTTCACCATATAAATTGTTTTTCTCAAATACTCTTTTTAAATTTTTTTATTTTACATCTTGGTTAGTTCTAATGTGCTCTCTATATTCTTTGATGTTTTTGGTATGAGACCAAACAAATTCAAGGAATCAAAATGTGCACATACTTTTTTTTTTTTTAAAGAAGGAATAGCATTACCTTTCCATTAATTCTAGTAAAATGAAGATACTTAAAGTACTTTTTTGCAACTGTTCTCTAAGGCAAGGATTTATAAATTTTCTTTACTATTCACTTTAACTTTCAACACACTATTATGGTTAAGTGATTGTTTTTATTTAGATAAATGAATTTTGTACATTTGTAGGTAGCATTTTGCTCCTATATTACATAAGTTAAGTTATTGAAATAATATGGCAAGAAATAACTGGCTAACTTATAACTTGTGTGTGTGTGTGTGTGTGTGTGTGTGTGTGTGTGTGTGTGTGTGTGTGTGTATCAGGTTACAAAGGAGGATGAACGAGAGAAGAAGTTTTCTAGAAGGCTAAATCACAGTCCTCCCCAGTCAAGCTCCCGATACAGAGAAAATAGGTAAGTGATGTCCTGAACCAATTTCAATTTTTGACTTACCTGTCAGATAGAGGCAAGTAATGTCTAGTGTTTTATTGGTCCAGGAAGGTATAATTAGGTTCTTTTGTACCAAGACCTTAAAGTCAGATTTTTATGTTGTAAGTTCTTTGTTGTTAATTTTATTCCAGGGTTGGAGTATTTTTCTTCAGTATGATTATTTTTTTTCTATTAAGCTTTCAAAAATGGGTAAAGTACTATGTATATAATACATGCTTATGAGATTATATGTATAAGATTGTAGTATATATACTATATATGTAATATAAGACTTATGGAATCCTTTATGTACAGAGAATTGTATAGATGTTGATGTACATAAGAGTAAGAATTAAGACAGTAAGAAATATAACACATGCTTATGAGATTTAGTATAAGACCGTGTAGTATATTATATATGTAATGTAAGACATACAGAAGCCTTTATGTATGAGTTGGAATTGTATAGATGTTGATGTACATAAGAATAAGAGTTAAGACAATAAGGGAAATTTTACTTTTTGTAAAAAGGTTTTGTAGTAAGTGTATTTACTCAGTCATTTTATTTGAGTTTCCCATATTAATATTTTCAAGGTAGGATTTTAAAAGTATACTATAAGAATCAAATACAACTTTTACATTTGGAGGTTTTTTTTTCAATTTTTTACTTAAACATTGTTTATACAAAAGTGTTTATATATTTCTTTAGAAGTCGTGATGAGAGGAAAAAAGATGATCGTTCTCGAAAAAGAGATTATGATCGAAATCCTCCTCGAAGAGATTCCTACAGAGACCGATACAATAGAAGACGAGGACGAAGTCGCAGTTACAGTAGGAGTCGGAGTCGAAGTTGGAGTAAAGAGAGGCTTCGTGACAGGGATAGAGATAGAAGCAGAAGTAGAAGCAGAAGCAGAACACGAAGTAGGGGTAAATAATACATGTATATTTATTTTGGTTAACATGCTTTACTTTGAAAATGTTATAGATTTAAGGGATTTTTAGAAAATTTAACATTTTTCCATTATTGCCTTTATCTTTTTTATTACCTTGTATTCTTGTGGTCTTACAAATACTTGGGCCTTGATTTCAAGTGCTAGACAGATAAGTTGTTTTTTTCTTTAAATGTCATTTTATGAGTGGTTACATTTACATGAGTAAGGTATATTTCTCCATTAAAAAACATTTATTGAACTGGATGCCACTGTCTCACACTTGTAATTCTAGTTACTCAGGCTAGGGCCTAAGTAAGGACAAGTGCCTAGCCCTTGAGTTAAGCCCCAGGACTGACACACAAAAAAGATTATTCCAGTCAAGCTGAAAGCACAGTTAACTATTACACTTACCAGGATGATTGACCACTAGGAAAAGTCTAGATTAAGTGTTAGTGAGCATATAGATTAGATTAACCTGAGGCAGTATCTTAAAATGTTAAACCTACTGCTCACTAATTCCACATGTGAATGTTTAGATAAAAGAAAGCACATCTTCACACCAAGACTTATACACAAATGTTTAAGGCAACTTTATTTATAGGAACCCAAACTGGAAACCAGACAAATGTCCATCTGTGGAAAATAGACACATGATTAACCACATTATGACATGAATGAAAAGGAAGAAAACATTGATACCTGTAGCAAAGGAAATAAAGCAGCTGGGTGCTGGTGGTTCACACCAATAATCCTAGCTATTCAGGGTGCTGAGATCTAAGGATCAGAGTTCAAACCCATCCTAGGCAGGAAAGTCTGTGAGATTCTTTTCTCCAATTAACCACCAGAAATCTAGAAATGGAGCTATGGCTCAAAGTGGTAGAGTACCAACCTTGAGTACAAAACTCAGAGCCCAGGCCCTGAGTTCAAGCCCCACAACCAACCAAAAAAAAGGGGAACAAACTGTTGATATCTGTAACCATTGAAAACTGAATCTCAAGATAGATAAAAGAAGCCAGATGGATGTAGAGTTATGCCTCAAAACTACAGTAGTTTAAAAAAATTCATTTATTTGTATATTTGTAAGAGCATTGCTATCCAATATGTATAATTTTCCTTCCATTATATGCCACTGAATGGAAGATATAGTTGTAGTAAAATGATAAATATTTTGAGTAAAACACTTTTACTAAAACTTAGATTTTTTTTTTTATTGTGAAAATACTGTAGAGAGGAGTCACAATTACATGGGCAAGATAATGAGTACATTTCTTTTTTTTTTTTTTTTGGGTCCGGTTGTGGGGCCTGAACTCTGGGCTTGAGCGCTGTCCCTGAGCTCTTCAGCTCAAGGCTAGTGCTCTACCACTTGAGCCACAGTGCCACTTCCAGCTTTTTTCTTTTTGCTTATGTGGTGCTGAGGAATCGAACCCAGGGCTTCAGGCATGCAAGGCAAGGGCTCTACCACTGAGCCACCTTCCCAGCCCCTCTACTTCCGGCTTTTTTCTTTTTTCTTATGTGGTGCTGAGGAATCGAACCCAGGGCCTCAGGCATGCAAGGCAAGCGCTCTACCACTGAGCCACCTTCCCAGCCCCTATGAGTACATTTCTTATCAAGCATTGTAGAAAACTTAGATTTTCTTAATACACTTTATGATTTTTGTGTAAACCATATATGGTGCTTTTCTTCTGGTATTTCCTCCAGTGTAATAATGTTATATTAGGCATATTTGTACATTGCTTCACTTAACTAATCTTACATCTTTTCTCTTTCCTTAGGAACCATATGAATCCTAGTTTATTGGCTTGTTTCTTTTCAATATAAATATTTTTCTTTCTGGCTTCATCCATTTGTATCTTATAAATAATGTTGGTTATAGAAGCAATCATTGTAGTATCTTTTTTAGATGGACTGCAATCACATGCTTTTGTTTTTTAGGTTACAAATATGCATTACTAAGTTTATGAGACGAAAACGTAAAAGTTTCTTCTTTCCCATAAACAAAACTTTTAAGGAAAAATTTTGTATTTATTTATTATTTATTTTTATTTTTGTCAGTTGTGGAGCTTGTGGGGTTTCCCTGGGTGCTGTCCTTGAGCTGTTAAGTTCAGGGCTAGCACTCTACTACTTGAGCCACAGCACCACTTTCAGTTTTCTGGTGGTTAATTGGAGATAAGAGTCTCACGGACTTTCCTGTCCAGGCTGGCTTTGAACCGCAATCCTCAGATCTCTGTTTCTTGAGTAGCTAGGATTCCAGGTATAAGCCTCTGGTGCTCAGCTTATGTGTATTTTATAGTTTATGCCATATTGAAACAAAATAGCATGCCTTAGAACATTGAGTGGTATTTTTTTTCTATAAAGAGGTTTGAGAAAAAATTATCTTTTCTCTGTGCAGCAACAATACTTGTATTTCTTATATTTGGGATATATTTATGAGTGTAGTTTTACAAGTTTTTTTTTTTGTTGTTGTTGTTGCAGAACGGGATCTAGTAAAACCTAAATATGACCTGGATAGAACAGATCCGCTAGAAAATAATTATACTCCAGTCTCTTCCGTACCTAATATTTCATCTGGCCACTATCCTGTCCCTACTTTGAGCAGCACCATTACTGTCATTGCACCTACTCATCATGGTAATAACACCACTGAAAGTTGGTCAGAATTTCATGAAGATCAGGTGGACCATAACTCTTATGTAAGACCACCAATGCCAAAGAAACGGTGTAGAGACTATGATGGTAAGTCTTTGAACTGTTTCATGATATGATGAATTAATATTTCTGCTTGCTTAAATTCTCTTAGTTTAGGTGGTACGTTACTCAGAAAGACATAATGCTGGTAGTAGAAATAGTGAGAAAGTTAAATTTCTTCATTCATGTATTTTCTAATACAACTTCCATTGGCTACCCCTATTTATTGAATATATGCAAATATTAATAATTGTGAGCATTTTTGCCAAGTAAGTTATTTTTTTAGGGAAGTTACTCTTACAACATTTAATAACAAAACTCACTTCTTGAGAAGTCAGTGATTGTTGCGGTATAAATAGGACTAGTATATGTAAATATTACCTAGGTCTCACTTTTATAAGTGAAGAGAAGATTTTTAAAGATGTGTTATAAAAGCCATATATGTAGCACTAAACCATAGTTTCAGTGTTCTTTAGTTTTAAGTACATTTAAATAAAGGATATGTTTTTAAGGACAAATAGGCCAGAAGTTTTACATGAGGTTTATATCACCCTACTGGTTGTTCATACATACTTTAATTTGATGACTTTAAAAAATGAGTGTGGTGGATATATTATCACTTAATTTGTCTTTATATGTTACTGGGAATGATCAGGTGCCTCTTGTGAAATGTTTTTATTACTTATTCATAAAATATTCTTCAAATAACTTATACAGAGTTGGATAATTTATATTTCTGTTAATTTCACATTTTTTTCTAATTCTTTTCTCACAGAAAAGGGTTTTTGTATGAGAGGAGACATGTGCCCTTTTGATCATGGAAGTGACCCAGTTGTCGTAGAAGATGTGAATCTTCCTGGTATGCTGCCTTTTCCAGCCCAGCCACCTGTTGTTGAAGGACCACCTCCTCCTGGACTCCCTCCGCCTCCACCAATTCTTACACCCCCACCAGTGAACCTTCGACCTCCAGTGCCACCTCCAGGTCCATTACCACCTAGTCTCCCACCTGTCACAGGTGAGTATATAGGTTTGACTATTTATTATTATCTGTCTGTTCATAGGCTTTATACAGTTAATAGTTTGGTGATTGCTCTGTTGAAAGTTCCTAAAGCCCATAGATGCCTAATAGAAACTAAGAGCAACATATTTCCATTTGAAATATATCTACATGTTGTAGTCTTTGCCAAACTAACTACTATGAATTAGTGTATGTCACAAATATTGCCAGTTGCCTAGAATTTAAAGCAAATGTGTTTTTGAAAAACATTAAAAGAATATTTGACATGAAAATGCTAACTTAGTTTTAAGAAGTTGTTTTTGTAGGCGATAATTATAGTTTGATAAACTAGAGCATCATGTTTGGATGTATAATAATCTATTTTGTTTGTTTACTTTCAGATGATATTTCTTATTCTTTGGTTTTGACAGGACCACCACCTCCACTTCCTCCTTTGCAGCCATCTGGCATGGATGCTCCCCCAAACTCTGCAACCAGTTCTGTTCCTACTGTAGTAACAACTGGCATTCATCATCAGCCTCCTCCTGCTCCACCCTCTCTTTTTACTGCAGGTGCAGTTTGGTCTTATGTATATTCATAGTGTAATGTGGTTGTTTATATTTATTATCTTTAAGTAGTTGTAAAAAGGAGTTTCACCTTAAGTCAGTTGAAAGCAAAGTTGTAGATGCAGATGTAAAACATGTCTAGAATGACTTGTTCTTTGAGGAACATTTTTCCAACTAGTATAGAAATGTACTATCAGCTTGGTAAATTGATACTAAATAAACCCTTAATTAAGATTTTTTGGAATAATTGGGTTTAAATGCTTTCTTTTTTTTTTTTGTTGGTTGTGGGGCTTGAACTCTGGGCTTAGGTGCTGTCCCTCAACTCTTGAGCTCAAGGCTAGCGTTCTACCCTTAAGCCACAGCACCACTTTCAGCTTTTTCTGTTTATGTGGTGCTGAGGAATTGAACCCAGGGCCTCATGTATGTGAAACAAGCACTCTACCACTGAGCCACCTTTCCAGCCCCCTTTCCTGGTTCTTAATACTTTTTCAGAGAACTATTTAATGCACATAAAATGTTATTTACATATTATATGTTGGTTATATGTAAAATGGTTTGGTTTTTATTAATATTAAAAATTGCCAAGTTGAGTTTTATAATTGTTTTTTAATTACAGTTTTTGTATTACCAGATACATATGACACAGATGGCTACAATCCAGAGGCCCCAAGCATAACAAACACTTCCAGACCTATGTATAGACACAGAGTGCATGCACAAAGGCCTAACTTGATAGGACTAACGTCAGGGGATATGGATTTGCCACCCAGAGGTACTGTGATTAATCTTGATTCTTTTTTTTGTCATGCCAAAGGGGAAAATATAAGAACAGTTGGTCTTGTGTTTATTGGTTTTAAGTAAGATATAATGGTTTTGTTTGTTCTCTGTAACCTTTGACCTCTCAATAGAGAAGAAATAATATGTGGTTCCATATTTGAAGCAGAGAGTCACTTTAATTTTTTAAGGAGAAATTTCTCCAAAATATGTATTTCTCAGGTAGTTTTACTGTTTCTTGTATTTTTCTTCATTTGTAAAAGAGTTCATTTAAATTTTTGAAAGTAATTCTTTAATATCTAAAGTCCTACTTTGGATAATGTAGCTGTATAAACTTGAATTTTATATGAAATATTAGTTTATATTTATTTTGATACATAGTTTTTCATTGACATTAAAATTGACATTAGTTGGCTTGTATTTTTTTTTTTTTTTTTTTGGTCGGTCGTGGGACCTGAACTCTTGGGCCTGGGCGCTGTCCCTCAGCTCTTCAGCTCAAGGCTAGCACTCTACTACTTGAGCCACAGCGCCACTCCCCCCCCCCCCCCCCTTTTTTTTTTTTTTTTTTTTCTGCTTATGTGGTGCTGAGGAATCGAACCCAGGGCCTCAGGCATGCAAGGCAAGCGCTCTACCACTGAGCCACCTTCCCAGCCCAGTTGGCTTGTATTTTTAAGCATAGAAATACGTTTGTAAGTGACTCACTATTGTTTAAACCTGACTTAAGAGTTGTGACTGATAATATACACTAGGCAGGGCAGCAAAACTGCAATGCTAGAGGTTAAGTTGTAAAAAGGTTTAAAGGATAGGCAGAATTGACAGTAATTGAAAGATGTATCATTTGTTACATTGAACATTTGATAGAGGGAAGTAAGGGTTTGTCAGATATAATAGAAAATATTACATACTCTTACAGAAATGTTTTTTTCTTAATCACTTCAGTTAACTTTTTGCATATGTGTTGAACTGGAGTTGAAGTCAGAGCTTCACTCTCTTGGCTTTTTCATTCAAGGACAGAGCTCTGCTACTTGAGTTATATACTTTCATTTATAGCTTTTTGCTGGCTAACTGAAGATAAGAATCTTGAGGACTTTTCTGCTCAGGCTGGCTTTGAACTATGCCCTTAGCTCTCAGCCTCCTGATTAGCTAGGTTTACGGGTATAAGCCACGAGCTCCCGGTGGGCGTGCATGTGTCCACCCTGTCCCTCTCCCTGCCCTTTGGCTAGTGCTCTACTATTTGAGCCAAGGTTCCACTTCCAGCATTTTGGTGAATAATTGGAGATAAGAGATAAGAATCTCTTGGACTTTTCCTACCTGGGCTGGCTTTCAACCATTATTCTCAAATTTTATCTTGGCTTGAGCCATTGGCACCCAATGCAATTAACTTGCATCCTAATTTTTTTTATTACTGTTTTACCTAGTCATAAAAAAAATAAATGGTGCTTACATTTGGAAGAACCCAACTTACTCTATTCTATAAATTTATTATTAAACTTTGTGGTATTATTTGCTCATTGGCCACTCTGAACATCTAACTTTAGTATTTATAGAACATTAAATGATGGAGTTTTGATTCAAGTTTATATTTCTTGAGACCACGGGATACTTAATGGGTATGCCTGCTCCTCACATATACTTTTTAAATTATACTTGAGGCAATCCAATAATTACACAATAGTAGGAGAAAGGGTTTTTGGGGGTTTTGTTTTGGTTTTTTTTTTTGGATGGTTTCTGTGAAAAGGATAATTATACTGCAGTTATTGAGACATCGCTACTTAAATTATAGCTGCTTATACTGTGTATTTATTCTCTGTCTCCTACCTAGCTAGTTTACAGATTTTATAACCCCTTCTTTGGTCACTATTAAATAATTTTTTAAAACTTCCTAAAACATTCCTGTTGACTTCCTCTTAATTATTTTTAACTTTGTTGCATATGAGTACATATGCCACGCCTTTTTCCAGTATGAGTTAAAAAAATTACTGATAAACACAAAATGTTAATGTGTGCTTTCTTCCATTTTCTTTTGTTAATACAGAAAAGCCTCCTAATAAAAGCAGCATGAGGATAGTAGTGGATTCAGAATCAAGGAAAAGAACTATTGGTTCTGGAGAACCTGGAGTTCCTACAAAGAAGACTTGGTTTGATAAGTAAGCTGGCAGGGAAAATGAGGAATTTTAAACTGATTTTGATTGTATTTCTTTTCTTTCAAAAAAATTACTCTTCTATAGACAGTCTCCAACTAAAATTTACACTATATTTTAGAAATTTGTAAGTGTTTAGTAATATAAAGACACTTTTTTATAAAAGTGGTAAGGTAGTTAAGGTCATAATATTTACTCTTTCTCCTTCCCCATTCTCTAGGAAATGACACTCGTATATTTGTTAGTGTTTGTTTCTTTTTTTGTTGTTGCTTTTTGTAGGTTGTGGGGCTTGAACACAGGGCCTGTGTGTTGTCTCTGAGCCTTTCTGTGCTCAAGGCTAGCACTCTACCACTTGAGCAACACCACCACTTCTACTTTTGAGTGGTTAGAGATAAGAGTCTCACAGGGTTTTTTCTGCCCAAGCTGGCTTTGAACCGCTATCCTCAGGTCTCAGCCCTTACGTATAGCTAGGATTATAGGCATGAGGCACTGGTGCCCGCCTAGACATTCATTTTATTTCTCAAACCTTTTCCTTTGTACTTGGGATGGAAGTCAGGATTTATAAATATATTGATCAACTCTTTGTTTTTTGTTTTTTTTTATAGACCGAATTTTAATAGGACAAATAGCCCGGGCTTCCAGAAGAAGGTTCAATTTGGAAATGAAAATACCAAACTTGAGCTTAGAAAAGTTCCTCCAGAATTAAATAATATCAGCAAACTTAATGAACATTTTAGTCGTTTTGGTACATTGGTAAACTTACAAGTAAGTGTCAGAAAATTACTGTATTTGTCAACACTTAATTTTTAGAGAAGAAAATTCGTTCATAATTTAAGGTTGGGAAAATGAAATACCTGAGACAGTCTGACTTAATAAAGAAAACTGATATATTTAGCTCCTGGGTTTTGAAGGCTGAAAATTTAAGATGAGGGAGTGCCTGGATTTGGCCTTTGATGAAAGCCTGATGATATATGGTGGAAGTTATGTGGGAAGATTAGATTGTCTCACTTCAGGAAGTCAGAGCTATCCAGGGATTAACTTTATTCTCTTAACAGTCACTTTTCTGAAAGCTCAAGGGTCCACAAGCTGGGACCGCTTCCTTCCCTCATTGTCCTAATTACCTCCCTCTAGACCTGACTTCTTAGTGGTTCACTTCCACATCGTAAGATAGCCAACTTCAAGCTATAGACAAACCATGACAGACAAGAAATTGAAACTTATAAATTATTATGGACCCATGATATATATATCCATATATATATATATATATATATATATTACACTTAATCTTGAGTATCTCTTTGAGGCAGTTCAGTTTGCTTTACCACATTTATCTCTAGACATAAGGTTCTTAGAATATCTTCACATATTAAATCGCTTGTAATAATTTAAACTGTTTTAAGAGTTTGATGTATTTAAATGGATTATTATTTTAAAATTACCTGAAATCATTTTTTATCCTTGTAATTATTGTTTATTGAATACTTAGTATAAACTTCTGTTCCACATGAATCATTACTCTTTACATGAAGAAGTGGGTACTGTTAATCCATTTATAGAAGATGATGCTGAGGCACAGAATAAATGACTTAACTCATGCTCTTATGAAAATCATCCAAAGTTTGAACCATGAAACTTGATGCAGACTGTGCTTATTTTTCACTGTTTTGAATTTCTACAACTACATGTGGTTTATATACTATGTTTTAAGAAACATTGTTATTTAAAGAATAGAAAACTTGGTATTGTTAAATTGAAGAGGAATTGTTCATAGTATTAACAATCCTCAGTTACTATTTCTCTAAGAAGAAAAATAAGATTGGGACACTCTAGGTATAAGGAAGAGGAAAGATCTTACTTGGAAGGTTCAGTTTTTCACATCTTGAGTAATTTTATTGCATAGAGCCACAAATTCCACTAGAAATTTACTGTTTCTATTTTAAATCTTAGGTTGCCTATAATGGTGATCCAGAAGGTGCCCTTATCCAATTTGCAACATATGAAGAAGCAAAGAAAGCAATTTCAAGTACGGAAGCTGTATTAAACAATCGCTTTATTAAGGTTTATTGGCATAGAGAAGGAAGTACCCAACAGCTACAAACTACTTCCCCAAAGGTAAGAATAAAAATTATTCCTTTCTTACAGAGCTCTTAGTACATTGTTTAAGAGCAGAGATATTTGAATCGGGGGAACTGTGTTCAGATCCTGGCTTTTAGTACTGTTAACTTTATAGACTTTATTATACTATTTAACTTCTCAATCCCATTCTCATCTAATTGTGAGTTTAATCTTATTTTATGAAATTATATGAAGGTGCATTTTAGGCATATAGAACAGTCCTGGCAGATAAGAATCATTCAGTAAGTTGTAGCTAATGTGTATTTCATAATTTGAGATTGTGAATTTATTTCAGAAATTCTTCTTTATTCCTCTCCTTTTTAGTTTCCTTTTTCTGCTTTCCTGTACCAGCTGGTGTACTATATAATGTTAGATTATTTAGAGAGATACAACAGTTTTTCATTTACTAAAACAATTTTTCATTTCCTGTAAAGGAAATAACTATATGCATGTGTTAAGAAAATTGAAAGGAAGTGTAGGGTTTGATTATAAGCTGTATTTTAACTTCCTAATGCTTGACCAAGTATTTATTACAATATAGAAAAGTTTATCATACTCCTGAGTTAATCAGCTTTTAAGATATTTTCTTTTTTCTTGTCCTGAGGTAATGCAGCCTTTAGTCCAGCAGCCCATTTTACCTGTGGTGAAGCAGTCAGTCAAAGAGCGGTTGGGTCCAGTACCTTCAAGTACTATTGAACCCGCAGAAGCCCAGAGTGCTAGTTCAGATCTTCCTCAGGTAAATGGAAAAATGTCTTGTAAATAATAGTTTTCTCTTAGTATCTTCAATTCTAATTATGGTTTTATTTTTATTTTTTGAGGGGGGTTGTTTTGTTTTTTGGTGCCAGTCCTGGGGCTTGAGCTTTTGTGCTCAAGGCTAGTGCTCTACCATTTGAGACACAGCTCCACTTCCAGCCTTTTACTGGTTAAGTGGAGATAAGACTAACAGACTTTCCTGCCGGGATTAGCTTTGAACCAAGATCCTCAGATCTCAGTCTCCTGAGTAGGTAGGATTACTTGCGTGAGCTACTGGCACCCAGATATAATTATGTTTTATATAGAAATATGGCATATACATATTTGAACCCTACCTATAAATCTTACTATAACTTTCATTTTTACTGTAGTTTTTGAATCTTAAATTATTTTCTTCAGTTAATACTTAGAAGAAAGATGTCCTTTTTACTTTGTGGAGGAGATAATATTTCAGCAAACTGCCTGAAGAAAGTTTAATACACTAGTCTTATTTTTTTTCACCATCTTTTTACTTAGAATTTCATTCTAGAGATAATTATGTGGTAGAGTGAACTGGCGACTTTTGGGAAAGAAAGTCTTAAAACATCATGGTAAACCTGCTTGATAATTTTACCAGAACTTTGCTTCGCTTATTCTTGATTCTGGGATTCTCTGATCATTGTTAATTTCTTTCCACTTGTTCTACACTGAGTGACAGTTTCTGGGAGGCATTTCTGAACTCTTTCTGAAACATAGCTTTCCTTTTTTTCTCCAGATGTTTCAGATTGCTGTGTAGAATAGGATGTAGTCTCCTGTATAGTTAATAGATGCTATCTTATCAAAATGCCCTTCCTAGGTAATTCCTAAAGTGTAAGGCATTGAATTCTATAAGAAAATGCAGAACGTTAGTTGGTAAATTATTAGTAACAAAAAAATTATATCTAAATCATCACCAAAAACAGTATAATTTAGATATAAACTAGTGTATTTTAGGAAAGAAAGACATCTGTTTTTAAGCTTGAGAAGTAGGCATATCTTTTAAAATGTGCAGACTTCCTACTTGTTAATATAGGATTCTAAGATAGAATCCTATGTTATGTATGATTATGTATTAGGGAAGGGACTGTAGGGACCACTTATTTTACATAATAATTTTTATTAAATTCTGTTGGATTTTTTTCTATGTACATTTTCTTACCCTTCTCCCTCTCTTATTCCTTTTCCTTCTCTTTAAAAAAAACAAACACGTAAGTTCTGTGATAATCATCAGTATATGCATAGACTCAGTATATATTGATGGGATCCGAATGTTCAAAAATCCCAACAGCTTATATATGTTTGGGAAAACACTGAATATGTCCGTTTTAATTTTTTTAGAATGTAACTAAGTTATCTGTGAAGGACAGGTTGGGTTTTGTATCAAAGCCATCTGTTTCAGCAACTGAAAAGGTAAGAAGAATAGCATGATGTGTTTGTCTTGGCTTTGTAAATGTTTTCAGGTGGCATCTTATTTTTTTCATAGCTCCAAAATTCTGCTTCTTAATTGTATCTGTAGCTCTTATTTCTACCTTTTGCTTTTACATTCACTGAAAAAGAAAAATGTTCCTACCTTTATTTTTTGCTTCAGCATTTTAATACTTGCCTCTGTTTCTGTGTCCTCCATTTTGTTTTTTCCTTTGCATTTATTGTCTTTAGGGACATTGCACATTATTAGTTTGGGGACTCTGGCAGCCCTCAAAGAAAGAGCCATGAACTAGGAATTTTGCCTGAGCTTGATCTCTGGTTCTCACCTTACTAACTGCATGATATTGCACTATGCTCTTAACCTTTCTGAATTTTTTAACTCATCCATAAAGTGGTATTGGTAATATTTGTCTTCAGCATGGGGTTTTGTGAATATTAAATGAAATAAAAATCATTGATTTAAAAATATTCTGTAAATGGGAATGATGATATAGTAAGTTTGAAATTTATTACTAACAAATGTTTATGTAGCCTAATTATTTTTTTAGTGAAGAGATAAGTGTGTTATTATGTTAATAGTATTTATGGTTCTGTCTCCTTTGTGTTTAGGTATGAGTGAATGCCCTGATCTTTAGTTTGATATGAGGTGTGTGAATCACAGATTATTGGAACTGATAATCAAACTGGTTGCAAGACCAGACTGCAGTGTGTTTCTAGCCCATGGCTCTTTCCAGTTTGATAGGACTATAAAGAAAATTCATGTTGAAAGTAAAACAAAAACATCCAGTGAGATTGCTAACCTGCTATCATCAGTCTTTCCCTTCAATATACTGTTTCCTTTGTTTATTTTCTTAAATTAGGTGCTCACAGAAATTTGAAACTGAACCTCATTCTGTATGTACCTAAGACTCTTCTTAGACTTCTCTTGTTATTTTTGGCATAGCAGTCTTTAAGTGAATTATTTTTCATATAAATTAGAACGTCTCCTAATCCCAGCTCTGGAAGTGATTTTCTAAGAAGTATAAATGTATAAGCCTGAGAGCCCTGCACTTGTTTTCTGTTTTTTCTATCCCGCCTTCAGTGGGTAATGTTAATTTGTTCTTTTAAACTTGGAGTTTCTTAGAGAAATTACTTTGTATATTCATATCTTTATAGACACCTTAGTTGTGATTCTTTTACTTTTGCTCTCATCTTTGTATGTTGGAGAGTATTTTCTACTTATTATTCCCTTTACTGCCTTACTTTTCTATTTTGAAGGTGGCAGGTTTCATAGAGTGTATATGTCTCTGTCTAATAGAGTTAGAAAATTCCTCTGTCATCTCCCAGGAAACCCCACTACATTTCTCCATGAGATATCTCACTTCCTCTGAATTTTTGTGTGGCTTAGTCTATTTTACTACATTTAATAATATTAAATACTAACTTTGCTTAGGTTTATTAGTTTTATTGACAAGTAATGAGAATAAAAGCAGGATAAGATCTACTCTGTTTAACATACCATTGTGCAATTTTAAAGATATCTCCATACACATTTTGTTTGGGATCTTTTTTTGGGGGGGAAGGGGGCGTACGGTCGTGGGGCCTGAACTCTGTGCCTGGGCGCTGACCCTCAGCTCTTCAGCTCAAGGCTAATGCTCTCCCACTTGAGCCACAGCGCTACCTCCAGTTTTTTTCTTTTTGCTTATGTAGTGCTTAGGAATCAAATCCAGGGCCTCATGCATACAAGGCAAGCGCTCAACCATTGCGCCGCCTTCCCAGCCCCTGGGATCTCTTTATATCAAGATTTGGACTCTGAAATTTGAAATCTGTACTAAATACTGCTTTTGCAAAATTTCAGACTGTATTTTGAAACTGTTTTTATATTCTTAAAAGTCTTTTGTTTAGCTTTAAAATAAAATGCACACTAATTTGAAATTGCTAATATGTACTAATATATATTATACTGATACAGTAATTACTGAATTTTGTGAAAAGTCACTAATGGTAGCAGAGTATTTGTAGAAAAAAAATCACTAAAGGAAAACAGTTATTTATAAGCATGTAACTTTTAGTCATCTTCAGAAAGCATATTCATAGAATAACATTTTATATTTTCTTGTTCTTAAGTTGTTTCCCTTCATAATGAGTTTTGGTGTTGAAACTTTAAAGGAATTCTTGCTCTTGGTAGGCAGATGTTCTTCCACTTGAGCTACACCCAGCCTTTTTCTTTTTTTTTTGGGTCCGGTCGTGGGCCTGAACTCTGGGCCTGGGCGCTGTCCCTCAGCTCTTCAGCTCAATGCTAGTACTCTACCACTTGAGCCACAGTGCCACTTCTGTCTTTTTTTCCCCCCTGCTTATGTGGTGCTGAGGAATCGAACTCAGGGCCTCATGCATGCAAAACAAGTGCTCTACCACTGAGCCACCTTCTCAGTCCCTACACCCAGCCTTTTTTACATTATTACTTTTCAATCAGGGTCTTGCATATTTGTCCATGGATGTCTGGCTTTGATCTACAATCCTCTTTCTACCTCTGTCTCTAGAATGGTTAAGATTACAGGTACATGCTACCATGTCTGGCTTGTTTATTAATCTGTGGTCTCTTAACTTTTTTCCTGGAGCTTGTTGCAAACTGATTCTCTTCATCTCTGCCTCCAAAGTAGATGGGACTAGTGTGCCACAACATTCAGCCTGTTGTTTTTTTTTTTTTTTGGTCCATTCGTGGGGCCTGAACTCTGGGCCTGGGCACTGTCCCTCAGCTCTTCACCTCAAGGCTAGCGCTCTACCACTTAAGCCACAGCACCACTTCCGGCTTTTTTATTTTCTGCTTATGTGGTGCTGAGGAATCGAACCCAAGGCCTCATGCATGCAAGGCAAGCGCTCTACCACTGAGCCACCTTCCCAGCCCCTGGTTTTGTTTTTTAGAGACAAATGATATTTTGCTAAAGCTACTCTAAATTCCAAGAAGGTTGATCAAATAACTGATTATTTCCTGTATGTCTACCATATCAATTTCTAATACTAAAGTTATGATAGAAAGCTAGGCACTAGTGGCTCATGTTCATAATCTTAGCTAGGAGAACAAGATGATTGTGGGTTAAGGGCACCCAACAGCAAAATTTGAAAGACCATTTTTCAGCCCCTTGCTAGGCACAGAAATACACACCTCTGTCATCCCAAACTACATAGGAGCTAAGAATGGGAGGATTGCAGCTCCAGGGCAGGAGGGGCAGATAAGTCCATGAAACTATTTTTACAGAGGGGCACTCAACTATTATCTCAGCAATTCTGGGAAGTCTGAAGGTAGATCTGGCTTAGGTATGTACTTGGGCAGGAAATGAGACCCTATCCTAAAAATAACCAATCACAAACAGGGCTAGAGGTGTCAGCCTATAAAGCACAAGGTCTTGAGTTCAAATATTTTCTTTCCTACTATTGATTTTAATTTTTTAATGTTTTGCCCTCTGTCATAATTGTCATATGGATTTTATTTCTTATGAGAAAATAGGATTTGTTTAGAAGATTTGAGGAACTTTCTGGGAACTAAGTTATTATAGCAATAAATTTGTTAAGATATTTCTATCTAGAGTCATTAATCCTTTTGTTTTAATTCCTTTGTTCCACTCATGTGGAAACTAAAAACAGTGACATGATAGAAGCAGAGTAAAATGGTACTTCTTAGGATAAATAGGAAGTTAGAGAGTCTTTGTTAAAGTATATAAAATTTCAGTTAAAAAGAAGGAATAAGTTCAAAAGATGGACAACACAATGAGTGTTTTTAATAAGGATTTATTATATCCTTAAAAACTTCTGTGAGTGATTTTGAGTGTTTATACTGTAAAGATACAAAGGAATGCAAATATTAGCTAAATTTAGCCAGCCATGGGCATATATTATGCATAATAAATGTATATGACTTTGATTAATAATAGTAAAAAAGTATATTACTTTTTATTACATAATATGTATGACTTGTTAACTAATAAAAAAGTCAGAGTTAATGAAAGGTGTGATCAATCAACTAAGTGCATCTTAAAATACTAAATCCTATTCTCACCAGAATTTTTGGTTAAGCAAGCTTGGAATAGAATACACCTCTTGCTTAAGGAGTATATCATAAACAGTCATATTTCCTGAGTAGGTAATTGTTTACTTAACATAAGAACTTAGCAGAAACTATATTAATAAGCTTTCTATATTTGACTCTCCAGATACTTTTTTATTGCCTAGGAAAATTTACAAAAAATAAATTTACAATTACTTAATAAAAATTTAGAGGCACTTCTGGCTGTGACTGCATTTCCATTTTTTTTTGTGTGTGTTTTTTGTTTATTTTTTTTTTGGTCGTGGGGCTTGAATTCAGAGCTTGGGCACTATCCCTGTGCTCTTAAGCTCAAGGCAAATGCTCTACCGCTTGAGCCACAGCACCAATTCAGGTTTTCTGGTGGTAAATTGGAGACAGAGTCTCACGGACTTTTCTGCCTGGGATGGCTTTGAACCGTGATCCTCAGATCTCAGCCTCCTCAGTAGCTAGGATTACAGGCGTGAGCCACCGACGCCCAGCTTCCATGTTTAATTCCAGTCTGGACACTGAGTATTTAAAAGTGAAGCTTAGATAACTTAATTTGATCTTTAGTAGTACTTAATTTTTTTTTTTTTTTTTTTGTCGGTCATGGGGCTTGAACTCTGGGCTTGGGCGCTGTCCCTCAGCTCTTCAGCTCAAGGCGAGCACTCTACCACTTAAGCAACAGCACCACTTAGTACTTAATTTTTAAGAGTATTGGTTTTTCTTCTGTTCTTATCCATGGTGGGAAAAGGCCCTGTTTTTTCTTTATATTAATAATCGTTTAGCTGGTTATATTTCACACAGGAAATAGAGGTGCTAGACAAAGGGGATTGATTTTTTACTTGCCAAGAGGTAATAATGATAGATATTTCATTAACACAGTTCATACTTTTCAGTTTATCTTCTGAGTTAAATGCACTTTTTTTAAAAAACTAAAACCTGATAAGGATATTAAAGTTTACAACAACTCAGGCATGAATGTCTTAAATTCCAGTGAAATGAAGCATATTTGATGAAATTTGTTACTTGGTTACATTAAATAATCTGCAAAACTGGGCACAGTGTCTCAAACTTGTAATTCTAGCTGCTTAGGAATCAGATACGGGGCCATTGCAATTTTAGCCTGGGCAAAACTTAAAAGACTCCATCTTAACCAGTGGTTGAGCATGGTGGTCTCTTATTCTAGCTGCTGGGGAAGGACAGCTGCTAAGGTAAGCACAGTTGCTGAATGCAGTGGTGTGTGCTTGTCAGCTTTAGCACATGGGGAAGCAGTAGGAGAGAGGATCTTAGCCCAGACCTGCCTGGACATAAAGTAGAACCCTACTTTGAAAATAAGAAAAGCCTGCGGGTGTATCTCAAAGAGGTAGAGTATCTGCCTAGTAAGCATGAGTCCCTGGAATTCAGTCCTCAGTCTTGCTCCCTCCACTCTCTCTCCCCCTCCCCCCGAAAAAAAATCCGTGTACAAAAGTAGAAATAGAAACTTCTTACTTTGCTAGGGATTATCTGCAATGTCTGATCCACTAATAATAAATTTACTGTTGAGATGCTGAGATACTGAATACCTTGCTTCTGCCAAGATAAAAAATGAGAAAAGATGTCCACCATCATCATATTTTTCCAGTTCTGTACTCTAGGGTCTAACCAGTAAAATAAGAAAATAAATCACATAAAGATTAGAAAGAAAGAAGCCAGAAGGGCATAATGGCTCACTTGGGAACCTGAGAGAAGATTGTCAGTTTGAGACTAGTCTGGGCTATTTAGTGAGACTCTGACCCAAAGGATAAAAATGCAATGAAAGAGAAAACATTACTCTTTACTCATAGATGATACAATTTTCTATATAAAAAATTCCAAAGAATTGATAAACAGTTGAAATTTCTATATGCAAACACAGTTAGGTCGCTAGAAATCAGTTGTAAAAATTACAGCCCATACAGAAACCCATTTAAAAGCAGAAAAGGCTACTTTTGTAGAAAAGCTATTGCTGCTAATGTTTTGACAATTTTCTTAGGAATTGTAGCATCTTCTGTTGAATCTATTGCTCCCTTCCCTGGTTTCATTTTTAATAAAATGTAGTGTTTCTTGGTTTTTGGTTTTTGTTTTCTTTTTTTCATTTATTTATATTATTTATTTATTTTTATTGAAAATACTGTACAGAGGAGTTACAATTACACAGGCAAGGTAATGAGTACATTTCTTATCAAGCATTTTTGCCTCCTCCTTTGTTTCCCCTTCCCATATACCTCCCCACCCCCCCCCCCCCCCACCCCCCAAAAAAAAGCTGTAAAGTTCGTTTTTGTTTTCTTTCAGTGTTGAGAATCAAACCTAGGGCTATTTAGTTGCTAGGAAAGCACTGTACCTGAGCAATATCCCCAATCCTATGTGTGTGTGTACGTCATTGGACTTGAACTTAGGGCACTGTTCCTGAGCTCTTTTGCTCAAGGGTAGTGCTCTCCACTTTGAGCCATAGCTCTACTTCCTGTTTTTAGGTGGTTGATTAGAGATAGAAGTCTCATGGCCTTTCCTGACTGGCTTTGAATAATGATCTTCCTGGGTATCTAGGATTATAGTTGTGAGCTACCAGTGCCTGGACCAACCCTTAGTTTCTTAAGATAAGGTCTTGACATAGTCCAGCCTGTCCTCAAACTTGTCACCTTACTTTTAAAGTGGGGGAATATAAAGAGTAATAGAATATTTTAAAGTTCTTGAGATTGAAGCTTTATGAAATACATTATTATGTGTCCTATTTTTACAGAAGGAAGTTTCTGGATGAAACAAGGGAGCTACTTTTAGGAATAAAGGAGTCTTTTCTTTCTTGTCAAATAGTTTGATTCACTTTGAGCCAGCACTCTTTATAATTTGATATTAGAAATTAGGGTACTTGAAAAGAAGCACTTGTTCACTGAAGTTTGACAATCAATATTTAAAAGTGCTTGCTTGGGTTCTTTGTTCCCTAGGTTTCCTCACTAACTTGATTGTCTTCTTAATAAACATTTAAAAAATGGAAAATACAGTTCTGATAGTCACTAATTCCAATTTATTTGAGCATAGAAATCTTTTTGTCTACAACTTTTAATTTATTGAATCTCATTGGTAAAACAGTACACTCATTTGTACTGTACTCATCTTGTATTCCTCTTAGTAAGTTATTGTCTTGTTTTTTTTTTAATAATTTGCTATCTTGTATAATCATATAGTTTAGTATTAGTTGTGTCATAAGGTAGTTTAGAGGAAATGTCTTTTCCAGAATGACTGAGAATGGTGACTGAGATTAGACTATGTTTGCCCTTTTTTTTTTTGGACTGTCTTGGGTCTTGAACTTGGCCCCTTGCACTGCCCCTGAGCTTGTTTGCTAGAGGCTAGTAATCTACCACTTGAGCCACAGCTCCATTTTCTGGCTTTTTTTGGGGGTTAGCTCAAGATAAGAGTCTCATAGACTTTCCTGCCCAGCCTGCCTTTGAACCACAGCCTTGAGATCTCAGGCCCCTGAATAGCTAGGATTGCAGGATTGAGCCACTGCAGTCTGGCTGTTTTGTTTACTCCATTTTTAAATGCATATAACTATTTCCTTCTTATTTAGTGATACCTGAGTATTAGTTTTTATCATTGAAGAAAAAGATCTTCACCAATTTCAGCACATACCAAGTATTATTAAAAACTTTTACATTTTAAACATTCTGTTATATAGAATTAATACAAGTGTTCTAGGTTTTTATTTCATTTAAAAGCTAAGACATTATTGCCTACTTAGAACAATGGTAAATTGCCTAAGCTTTGCATTATACTTTAATTTTGTGATGAAAGATTAGAAAATGGTCTCCAGATTGCTACTTGTGATATATTCAGATTTTTTAGTAGCAACAGCATAGGGTCATTTTTCTTACTGATACTTGTCCATCTTAGTTGGATTTAACCTGTTGTAAGTCACGAACTTCTTTAACACTTTAGAATGCGTAGTTTTTCATCTGGATTATTAAAGTTCACAGACATGATTTGCTTTCATGTCTTGATGTTATAATGTATGTTGATTTCCATAAAGAGATTCCCTAGCAGTTTTCTAAGAATTACAGTTCACTGGAACTTAAGAGTGCTTTGTTTTAGAAGGTAATAAGCAGCCTCTAGCAATTTATTGTTTTGAATTAATCCTTGTGTAGAAAAGGTTGTTCCACTTTAACCTATAATAGTTCCAGCTTTGTGTAGTATGAACAGTGCTTTTGAGTATCTGCTATGTAACCTGACATTTTATAGATAATGAAGATACAGATGTGACAAGTAAAAAAAGGAATCTTTGCTTTCAAGGAAAGAATATTTGGGTTTGTACTTTAGACAAATCAAATCACAACTATTAACTTTATTGGTAAGCATATTAAGGCTCAAAAAGATGCTTGTCTTGTAGTCTGATAGTTACGTGGTTGTCAAGACTTAGGTATAGGGAGCACAAAAAGAAGAAAAACATACTTTTTCCCCAAGGCCTTACAATGTAGACATAGAGCAAGATGCGTAACTAACATATCATCAGGTTATTTTTACATGATAGCTAAAAAAACAACATTTTATTGAAGGATCTAGGTAGAAGGTAGAAATGGTGATGGATGTTTTGATTGTGTTAATACTGAGATGGGTTGAAGAGAGTAAGGTCACTTCAAGCGTAGAGAGCATGGCTAGTAAAGAAAGAGTTCTGAATTTTCTTTCAGAACTACAGATTAAATTTCAGAACTATCATTAAATTACTTAAAAAAGCATTTTTATCCTGTGCCATGCTCTTACACATGACATTTGCTTTAGTCAATAGAGACCTTAAGAAGTTTATATATTTAGAAACCAGGGTTTTCTGAGTGGTATGGAAATAGCAGTAGCTTCTTTTGTTTGTTTTGTTGATGTGGCATTTATGCACTTTTTTTTTTTCCTAAAGGTATTTGCTAATTGGAAAAAATTTTCATTTTAGGGCATATTCTTCTTTTAAACCCTTCCTTTCAAATCGTGAGTTATGATTTAGTTATGAATATATAGTGAATTTAGTTCAACATGCTGGATTTTGACAAAAGTACCTATGAAATTTCACAGGAAATAGGACTTAAGAAATTATGAATGGTTGTTACAGTTTTTAAGAAATTGAATTTATTTTGGTAGGTGTTGTCTACATCTACTGGCCTAACAAAAACAGTGTATAATCCAGCTGCTTTGAAGGCTGCACAAAAAACCTTACTTGTTACCTCTCCTGCAGCTGATACTAATGAAGCACAGAAAAAAAAACAGGTAAGTATAATAAAGAACATACTACAAATGTTCATATAGGAAAGCTTGTCTTAAAGTGCCTATCACAAAATGAAGGCATATATTGATACTCAACTTGTATCTTCTGAACTATAACTATTACTTTTTTTCTTTGGAAGGTTTCCTTTGTTGATCTTGAAAACTTGCAAACTACATTTTTGATCCTTGGTAATCATTCTCTAATGATATTTTTGAATCTTGATTCAGGAGGCCCTGAAACTTCAGCAGGATGTAAGGAAAAGGAAGCAAGAAATTTTAGAAAAGCACATTGAAACACAGAAGGTAAAATATTAAAATTTTATTTGGTAAAATATCTTTATTAGCTGTTACTTTAGTAATATTCACGCAGTACTATTTGGCCATTCCTTAAAAACAGATTTAATGTAATTGGTAATTGTGGTAATTGGTAATGATAAAGCATATACAATTACATTTTGTCATCAGTACTGTTGTATGATCGATTTAATGTAATAGAGATGAAGATTATATATTAAATGAAACTATGGTTGTTATGAAGTGAAAATGAGATAGTGTTCATTCAACTATGATGCTACTAATAGTTAATAATGAAGTGGGATTCTTTTTTCAGTATTCATAGGCACCTTCATTGTACATGGAATTCTTTAATGTTCATTCATTGTCTGAGAACCCTCTAGTCCTTTGTTGTCTGATACTGTAGTCACATCTGTTAAGTATGTGGAATGTGCCGAGTCCAAGATGAGATATAAGTGTGAAGTACATACCACATTTCAAAAACATGATATAAAGGGAGAAAAAGTGAAAATTTTATTGGATGTAATATTTTGGATGCATTATGTTGAATAAATGATAGAATTTCTTTTATGGCAATATTGCTCTGCTTTATGGCCTTTAATCGGAGTGATGTGTTGATTATGTCTACATTTGGCTAGTGAACACCTATAATCTCAGCACTTGGGTGCTAAAAGCAGTTGGGTTGAAAAGTTAGGCCAATTTTGTCTCTAAAAATAGAAAAAGGGAGGGAAGGAGGAACAAAACCCTGTAGAAATTTTTATTCCAGTTAGTTTGCATATACTTAATAAGGAGAAATTACAGTGCTTTACATCAGAATAGAAGCTATTTTATTTCAGGCAGCCTGTAAAACTGTATGGTTTCTTCAGTTCCCTATTAGTTCAATTATCTTTTTTCCTGTTTATACTGGAATATTCTCAGGCTAACCAATTACTATTCCCTATGACAAAGAAAGTAACCATTCATTTCCAATACCTTGTTATATGAAAGGAGCCTAAAACTTTAGTCCTGTTTGGTTGCAACTTCATTAGAGGAAAATATTTGAGGTATGAGTAATACCAGAAAATGCATTGAAAAGCAAAAATTTTGATACTTCAAACAGAAGACTTTTCAGGGATTGAGTTTAACATCTTCTAACTATATCTTAATTTAAGCCTTCCTATCTGTTCATTTTTTTAAGGAACTTTACTAGTATTTGGCTATCTTGGAGCCACATTAGTGAAGTATATGTAAGAAGATTATAGTACAATTCTAGGCTCGTAAAAATATGAGACCCTATCTGAAAAACAACTAAAAAACCCTAGCTTAGCAAGTGTGAGGCCCTGAGTTCAAACCCCAATATCCATGTGTGACTAACGTACTACCACCAAATCTGGTATTAGCCATCCTTGTATACTTATTGGTTGTTGGTTTTATTGTGAATATATAAACTAAAAATAGTATTACCTGCATACTTATTTTCTTGTTTTTACTTTTTTTTTTAAATAATAATGGAGGTGTCTTAACTTTTTTAAAATTTGACAGATGTTAATTTCAAAACTAGAAAAAAACAAAGCAATGAAATCTGAAGATAAAGCAGAAATAATGAAAACTTTAGAAGTTTTGACTAAAAATATTACCAAGTTGAAAGATGAAGTTAAATCTACTTCTCCTGGACGCTGTCTCCCCAAAAGTATAAAAACTAAGACTCAGGTACTTCCATTTGTGTTGTTATTCATGGAACTACTTATTAAAAAATATTAAGCACTAATTTCAAGGTTTAGTTTTACAGTTAGGTTATTTTCCTTTTTTCAAAAATCTGACCATTTTAATTCTACTTTGAAGCTGCAGTTGGCAAGTCAATAATAGGAAAATAATTACGACTACCATAAGGATGTTTTGATTTAGGTACTTTATTTGACTAAGAAATATGAGCTTTTTATTGTACCAGTTGGTGATAAAGCTTAATGACAGTAAAATTCTAGAGTATCACTATACGGAATTGTTAGATTAGAAATGGTTAAATGTAGATTTGAGATAGTAGCAAACAAAAATAATACAGTATGCTATACAATATTTATATTGATGTGTGTGTGTATGTGTATATATATATATATATATATATGAGATTTCATTGTATTCCAATATCGCATGGTTTCTCTTTTTTTCCTATTCCATATTACATATATTTCCATAAGGATAGCTTGTTCCTATAATATCAAATCTTCATTGAATAGACATATAATCCATTCAAAATAATATCAAAATTGGTATAAAAACAATAGCTACTTCTCACAGCTAAATATAAAAATATACTTTTTTTTTTTTTATATTCTACTAAAGGAGTATAATCAGAACTTTATGGAGTTTGTTCCCCCCCTCCCCCCCCCGCCCATGATATGCTATGGTTTTAACTTTACAAAGTTATTTTTCCTGCTTTTTGTATTCAGATTTGAATCCTTTCCCTTTAGCCCAAGTTCTTGTTGGTTTACTTAATTTTTTAATAACTAAAACATTTACACGTTTCAAAGCCAAATGATACAGTAAGGGGTACTTAGAAGGTCTCTCTTGAGATTTTATTTAGTCCCTGACACTATTCCTTCTTGAGTCTCTTAGGCAATAAGCACCATTAGGCTCTGGTCAACTGGTCTAATTGTGTGTGTGTGTGTGTGTGTGTGTGTGTGTGTGTGTGTGTGTGTGTGTGTGTGTGTGTGTGTGTGTGTGTGAGGTGATATATGTTACTGTGTATATACACTTAAGACACATACAGGTATGTATTCTACACATAAATACATCTATATATTGTTAGCAGGTTGGGTTTTTGGTTTTCTTTCTACAGTTGTCTTTTGAAATTACTATTTCTGTCTGTAGCATACCTGCTCTACAGAAAATGTATTACAGTGAAATCAGTGCAAGATGCAACAAGTTAAACTCTTGAAATATCAGAGTTAGTTGATAGTTAGACTAGCATAATAGTTTTGGAGATAGGGAAGAAATGTGACCAGGCAAAGTGACATATGTGTATATTATCAGCTCTTGGGAAGCTGAGGCAGATTCATGAACTAAAGGCCATCTTGACCTACACAGGAAGATTTGTGACCCCCCCCATCCCCCACCCCCCAAAAAAAGGCTGGGAAGGGGAATGTATGGAAAGAGAGAATGTCATTGTTCCTTGTAAATTTTTAAAATATAAATTCAAGATATTAAGTACTACATGAAATATAACTTTTTGTTTTAAGATGCAGAAAGAATTACTTGACACAGAACTGGATTTATATAAGAAGATGCAGGCTGGAGAAGAAGTCACTGAACTTAGAAGAAAATATACAGAATTACAGCTGGAAGTATGTTCCATCCAAGCAACACAGTATTTTTACAAGAATCAGATGTAGTTATAGTTGCTAACTTAAAAATGTATAGTCTTTGTTCTCATCAGCAGTTGTTGACTGCCATACTCAAAGGAGGTTTAGGATTGTGGAAAGAAGTGAAAAGAAGTTTTAGAACCACAAGGAAATACTATTTAATGAGAAAAGACAGTAGCTCTATCTATATATTCAGGTGTCTTCATTTCTAGCGAATTTTATTTTATTTTTGTTTTTGATATCTCTTTCTCCCTAAGACTAAAAAAAACATTCCTATGGAGATAATCTTTGCATATACGGTCCTATTATTTCGAGTTACTATAAAGATCACTTTCAGTTGTAGACTTACATTGAAAAACCTGCTTACCCTAGTTTTGCCTATAGATGGTGCTGTCGATATTTTTAACAAGAAAATGAACTACCTTCATATAAGGTTATTTATATGAGAAACTTGAAGCAAAGTTGTTTTCTAAGACATGAACATTTTTAGTATTTAGCTAAAATGATTAAAAATTTGTATTTCCTTGTAAAACATGAAGACCTAGTATTGTAAATAAAATAGGTACATGTCCATATTTATCATTGTTATAACAATTTAATTTTTTTGTTTTAGATTGTGTTGCTTAATCTGAGTATTTTTTTCAAAGTTTTTTTTAACAATATGATAAATATATTTTTTTTTCCCCTGCAGTGCAGTACATCAATTGAGTATTGCCATTCAGGTATTAAATTTCATGGCTAAGTGGACTACCTTATCTACTCTGAGATTTGGGAGATTATAAGATGTTGTCTTAAACTTGAATATATTTGCATTCTCTAGTACTTAATCTGATTACACATGTGTCCTATCCAGAAAATAAGTTTTAAAATAAGAATAAGATTTCTTTTTTGTTAATACAGAAATTACGTTATTCTGGAGATTCCGTGCTAGTGTTGGTAGCATGAAAAACAATATTTTCAAAATTCTGGCCTATAATTTTAGTAAATAAATAGTACTATTACCAGAATTCTTTATCCGTCCATGTTTTTCTTTTTTAATAAGTGAAATAAATACAATAATATTCTCTTTTTCTTTTTTAACAGAAAAACTTGTTTCCATTTCCTGGCATTCATTTAGATAAACACTATTTTAAATGTTCAGAGGCATGGTGCCTTTGGATTCTTCCCCTAAAAGTATTCTCCTTTAGTCTTACTGTGTGTGAATGCCTAGAATCCTGTATAATTTATCATGTCCCAGTGGATTGTAGGTATAGCTTCCACATGTGAGAGAAAATATGCACTATTTGTCACTGAGCCTGGCTGGCTTCACTAAACATGATTTGTTCTAGGTCCATTTTCCCACTTTTATGATGAATTCATTTTGTTTTGCGGTCAATACTAATATATGAAATACTATAATATCTCCATAGTGTGCTTACTTACTGTAGTAATGCATTCCATTAGATGTTAGTAGAAATTAGTGAACAAAGGTTGTGTGGTCAAATACATTTGGAAAAGTTAGGCCAAGCACAATTTTGACTGTAGGGTTTTTTTGGAGGATTTAATTTGTGAGCCTCCTAAGTTATATATTAAACATTCAGAATTGCTTAAACTCTGCAATTTTAGACATTAATATTCTCCAATATACCTTTGTATATCCAATCATTAGCTTTTGGCCTTTTAAATGATTTGTTAACCACTTATTTTTTATATTGACCAATGAAAACTTGTATGTGAGTACAGCATGATGTTCTGAAATATGTTTACATTGTGAAGCAGTTACATCAAATTAATCTATCTTTTCACCTATTTTGTAGAGAAAATAGAATATGTAAAACTTCTTTGAATAATTTCCTAGTACTGTCAAGAATGGTCATTTTAAGTTCTAATGTCCAGAACTTACCATCCTGTCTGAGTGTTTGTACCCTTGAACTCAGCATCTTCCCATTCTTATTGCCACAACTCTTTGTTTCTGCTGGTCCTGAAGTTTAAATTTAGAGACTGACCTTCTTTTGCTCAAGGCTAGTGGTCTACCACTTGAGCCACAGCTCCACTTTCATCTTTTTTTGGTGCTTATCGGAAATATGAGTCTCATGTACTTTCCTGTCTAGCCTGGCTTTGAACTGGGGTCCTCAGCTCTCAGCCTCTTGAGTCACTAGGATCACAGATAATGCAGTGTTTGTCTTTCTGTACCTGTATTACATTTTACTTAGCATTCTAATTTTTACTTTATAGGTGATTGTTTTAACTAATGTTATAGGTTAGCTAAAATAATGTTAAGAGTAGCTATATTGAGAGGAAACAACTAAAATGTTTACACTAGCAGAGATTTGACTGTGACACCTGCTTTTCTACTTAGATGTTATTACGATCTCATCAATATAATATGAATAGTGCTTATCTTGTTCCAAAAATCCATGTGTATAATTTCTCAGACCAAAACTATCAATAGATTATTTCCTTTCCATCAATGTTTATAAATCCAGTTGATTTATAAAGTTATATTTATTAATTTACTTAGTCTAAGGCAGGGTGTTATGCTTGCTAGGCAAGAGTTGTAATGCTTGAGTCATGCTTTATCTGTTTTGCTCTGGTTATTTTTGTGGTAGTGTTTTGCTTTTTGCCTCTGCCGTACAGGGCTGTGATCCTATTTTCAGGTTTTGCAGTGTCTGGGCAAATGGGCACACATTACCATATCCTGCTACTCACTCTTGCAAGTCTTTTTGCGCAAGCTGGACTCAGACCATTATCCTCTCAGTTACAGTCATCCCTTACTATACCACGGTTCACTTATCACAGCTTCACTGCATCACAGGTTTTAAAAAAACAAACAAAAAAACAATGATCCCTCATCTATCATGGGAGTTATGTTCCAGAGGCCCCAGTGATATGTGAAAACCCACTAAGTAGCAATAAGTGAACTGTGATATAGTCAGGGTCAACTATGTAATGCTACTTCACAGATTTTCGCCTATCATGGGCGTCTCTGGAATGTAGCTCCTGCAATAGGTGAGGGATCACTGTACATCTTTGGAGTATCTAGGATTACAGGCATTAACTACTAGTACATAGCCCTTACTAGGTTTTAAATGTATTATGTATTAACTCTCAAATTGTGTGTGTGTGTGTGTGTGTGCGTGCGCGTGTGCATGCCCATGTGCATGTGCGTGTGTTTGTGTGTACATGTGCCAGTGAGCAGTCCCAGTGCTTTCACTGAGAACTTGGGCACTATCGTGTTAGGTGTCAGTTTATCCTATATTGGATTTTATCCTTTATTTGGAAAACCATGTTTCTTTTAGCTTTGCTGTTTTGGTTCTTGTTGAACTTCCTATTTCATACCTGCATTTTTGATTTATTGAAGAAATATTAAATATTACTATAGATGCTGAGGATAAAGCAGGGAATAGAACTGGAAAGAACATTCAAGGAAGCTTGAATTATAATGGTTATTTACTGCAATTCTATTTAAACCTTTGAAATTTTTTCAAGGATGGGGAGCAGTATACTATAGGGTTTGAACTGAAGCTCTTGCACTAGGCTAGGCTGGCTCTCTGTCCCTTGATCTATGCCTACCCCCCTTTCATTAGAGAGCTTTGAGATAAGAGTCTGTCTTCCTAATTTTGTATGCCTGAGCCATGAGTTTGGCTGTAGGCTTCCCATTGTTGCTGTGATTATAGGTTTATGCCACTGCCATGTCTGGCTTCCCTTTATTGCTGTGCTCACAGGCATATGCCACTTCCTTGTCCAGCTTCCCTCTGTGGAGAATGGAGTCATAGGACTTTTATGCCTCAGCTGACCTGGAACTATGATTCTCTCAATCTTAGCCTCCCAAATAGCTTAGGATAACAAACACATGCTGCTTTGCCCAACTATGAATTAGAAACAAGTTTTACAAACTTTTTTGTCTGTCTGGCCTCAAACTTTACCCTCCTAATCTCTGCTTTCAAGTAGCTAGAGTTGCTTCACTTTCTGAGTCAGTTTTCATTAATACAATTTAGAACTTTAGCTGCTTAATGCCTCTACCTTTGCAGCATGTGCTCATTAAATCTTTTTTATAATGAAGAATGTTACTGTATTCATACAGAGTGATAAGGTAGAATATAAATTAGTATACTACCTTCGTTCTATATGATAGTGATAAGTGATCAAATTAATGAGTTGAGAAAACTGTTCATGCAACAGACAAGAAAATGGAAATTATAATAGAATATTTGAAAATTATAATTGGGAAAAATGCATTTATTTGTATATGTATATTAGATTGTTGATGTCCATAGGTATATAGTTTCAACGAGCTTCCTATTATGTTACACAACTTGTGCTAAAGACTTGGTTATTTTCAAAGCTATCTAAAATATTCACTTTATCTTTTAAACACATTAACTTTTACCTCACCCTTTGGGCACCATTTTCCTTTGGGAGGCATATTATTAAAGTCGGGAAAACTCAGAAGATAACACAATTAATTTAAACACAACTGAAGATAACAGCTAAGCTTCTTGGAATCATCTGACCTGCATAATATGAATGCAGGTATATTTTTTAAGTGGTTACTTCTTTTTTTTATTCTTTTACTTTTACTTATTTCTCTCTATTTTTACTTACTTTTTGATGACACTTGGTCAAGACCATATATAGTAAGTTCATAAATAAGATAAATTTAGTATAGATACTATATATATGTATATAATATATATATATACACACACACACACACACAGACTTGCCGCTTTTTTTTTTTGTTGTTGTTGTTTGTTTGTTTTTGGTCATTTCTGGGGATTAAACTCAGGACCTGAGCGCTGTCCTGAGGTTTTTTGCTCAAGGCTAGCACTCTACCACTTTGAGCCACAATGCCACTTCCAGTTTTTTGGTGGTTAATTGAATCTCACAGACTTTCCTGCCTGGGCTGGCCTGGAACCATGATGCACAGCCTCTTGAGTAGCTAGGATTACATGTGTGAGCCATCAAGACCCAGCTATTAACCTGACTTTTGAAGTAGGACTCAGTGGTAGAGCGTTTACCTTGCATGCATGAGGCCCTGGGTTCCATTCGAAGTAAGCCAGCACCACATAAACAGAAAAAGCTGGAAGTGGCGTAGAGTGCTAGCCTTGAACCGAGGGACAGTGCCCTGGCCCTGAGTTCAAGCCCTACAACCAACAAAAACAAAACAAAACCCAAGAAAGAAATCTAGAGTTGCATGTTTGTGTGTGGATGTGTGCGTGTGTGTGTGCGCGTGCGTGCGTGCGTGCGTGCGTGCGTGCACAAACATTAGGTTTTTTGGTTTTTGGTTTTTTTTTGTGTTGAGTCCTGATATCTTAGAGAACAACTTAATAGAAAGGCAATTTGGTAATTTTAGAACCTTAAGTTATTTGGTTACTAAATTCAATAGCTACTTAAATTTGCTTTCATTTTAAGAACTAAAATCCCAATTTAAAATTGTATAAATTGCAGTTGACTTGAGTTAATATAGAACTACCCTGTGATCCGGCAGTTCCACTCCTGGTCATTTATCCAATAGAACACAAACAAGATTACAGTAAAGTCATCATTAGCACAAGCATGTTCACACAGCAGTATTCACCATAGCCAAGATACAGAATCAGCCCAGATGCCCCCTGAGTGCATGAATGGATCAAGAAAATGTGGTGTATATATACACAATGGAATTTTTCTCATCCAATAGGAAGAATGATCCTGTATCATTTATAAGGAAATGGAAAGTCTTGGAAAAAGTTTATATTAAGTGAAGCAAACCAGACCAGAGAAACACATTGCTTGGTTTCCCTCATTTGTGGTTGGTAGAATGTATCTATATATCTGTAGGTAAACACCTTGAGTAGTATGCTAGTTGTTACAATGAATTAACTGGAGTATAATGGACTTCAATTGACAGCTCATATATAAATTTTTAGAAAGATTAGATCAAAGCCCAATAGAATAAGCACCAGGAAATGGGTACATGTAGGAGAGGGATTGGGTCAAAGGCAGAGAGGTAGACTAAGAAAGGGAGCAAGCAGGGGAAAATGCAGTCAAGAATTCAATTGTATACTCTACAAAATTAAGAAAATAAGAGAAAAGGGGGAGGGAGTGGGTTGAAGGGCGTGATACCAAGATGTATTTGTATATTGCATTGTTAAATGGCACCTCCTTTGTACAGCTACATAAAGATATCAAAACATTTAAAAAAGATAGATTGAGGTATTCTCATCTAAAAATCCGAAATCCAAAGTCCTGAATTTTCAGATGATATTCAACCACAAATTTCTGTGCATATAGACAAGAATATAAAATTCCAAACACCTGAAACTCCGTGGTCCTAGTTATTTTCAGGTAAAAGATATTCATTAGGTAGTTTTACATTGTTTAACCTATGTGCCTGATATCTTCTAGGCTGCAAAACGAGGGATTCTTTCGTCTGGTCGAGGTAGAGGAATTCATCCAAGAGGTCGAGGTGCAGCTCATGGCCGAGGCAGGGGGCGAGGGCGAGGGCGAGGTGTGCCTGGACATGCTGTGGTGGATCACCGACCCAGGGCATTGGAGATTTCTGCGTTTACAGAGAGTGATAGAGAAGATCTTCTTCCTCATTTTGCGGTACTTTCTTTCTACCCAACAAGACAAACACCAATTGATAATCATGGTTCAGTTAATAGATTCAATAATTAAAGGGGAAATTATGAAATTGGAATGAATAACTCTGAACAGAAGGTTTGATTAACCATAAAACTATGAAATGTGAGCTATGGATTTTTTTTTTTGTTGTTTTAATTTGGTGGTACTGGAGTTTGAACTCAAGGCCTTATACTTGCTAGGCAAGTGCTCTACCACTTGAGCTACTCTCTCAACTGCTACCCTAACCCTCTTGGTTTCAGTAATTTTTCAAATAGGGTCTCGCATTTTTTTCTTTTTTTTTTTGGCCTTGGTGGGTCTCAAATCTCCATCCTCCTACTTAGGTATATGTACCACCATGAACAACTCATTAAGTTTTGTGCCAGCCACCATATATCCTCCTGATGTGCCTCCTAAGTAGCTGAGATTATAGATGTGAGTCACCAGGCCCTGTGAACTATAGTAACTTTTTGTTTATCTAGAAGAAATGTTACAATTTCTTAGTAGGCCTTCATATACTGTGAAAAGAATTATTTAAATTTTGTTTCAGAGACTACCATCTTTAATTTGGCAATTTCTGAAAAAAATTAACATGTTACACAGACAATCTATGTTTTTAAAATTGTTACTTGTTCTAGTTAACCAAAATTTAAGACAACATTTTGATAATATGATAATTTGATAGTTACCTCCATAATTAATACAAGGGTATAAGTAGTCTATTTTATGATAGTAGGTTGCCTTATAAAAAAGGAAAAGAAGTTTCTATCCTGCTAATCTTTAATTAACTTGGGTTCCCAGGCATTCATTAGGCCTATTTGCAGAGATTATACCCACCTTAAATGCATCTTCATCTTAAATATTGCCATTTTTGTTAATATCCCAAAACTCAGTTACCAAGCATGTTTTTTTCACTAAGCATTGTAGCAGTTTTTCTGGAGATAAGAAGGAAGTGGCCAGTTTTTTTCCCAAAGGAGCTTTATATGTACTAGTTTACTACAAATGAGTTATGGTAAACTATAAAGGTAATTTATAATCAAGTTCCATTTATTAGCCACCGCAAGTGCATTAGTACCACAAAGAAATGTCTTTGACAATAGCATGTAATAGGAGAAATAACAATAAAAGAATATTTAATGTAATAGATAAGGAGTGTAGATTTTAAAAGATGACAAGCTTGTAGATGGTACACAAATTTGTACCTTTTGAAAATTCAAATTCATGTTTAGAGCAGTTAGTATATACTTGGTCAGAACATAAAGAAGTATTAAATGTTTAAGAAATAATTAAAATAATACTTAAGGAGATTAGTGTCCTATGCTTTATGGATTTAAAGGGATAAAGAAATAGAGGAACTAGAAAAGAGATTGGGGAGAATCTAGTCCAACTCTTCCCTGCTTTTCACCCCACTTCCACAAAGGAAAGGAGATGTAGATAACTTGAGTATCTTAAAAAGGTTACGTAGCTAATCAGAAAACTAGCAATAAATATGCTAAAATAATCCAAACAGACAAGGTAAGGTTATTATGGCTGTGTTTTGGTGAGGCATATTGTTTTAGAGAAATATTCAAAGCTTCTAGCTAGTAATTCTTACATATACTTAGAGATATGAACTCTACTCAAAAGTTAGCAGTGGTAATTGATATTACCAGTCTTAAGAATGCAGGTTTAAAATGTTGCTTTTCTATCACATCATGAGTTGAACACATGAAATCAGAGGAAAGAAACCTTATATTATTAAAGGATGCATTTGTGCATAATTTGTCATTTATCCACTGAGACTAGTAATAATAATAATTGTAGCTAAAACAGAGAGCACTTGTTTTATTGGAGTATTATTATGTCTTAAAAATTAACTCACTGTGTTAGAAATTATTTGAATCAAGCTGGGTGCCAGTGGCTCACACCTCTAATCCTAGCTACTCAGGAAGTTGAGATCTGAGGATCACGGTTCAAAGCCAGCCCCGGTAGCAAAGTCCGTGAGACTCTGATCTCCACTAAAAACCACTAGAACACCAGAAGTGGTGCTGTGGCTCAAGTGGTAGAATGCTATCCTTGAGCTGAAGAGTGCAGGGACAGAGCCCAGGCCCAGAGTTCAAGCCCCACAAACCAACAAAAAAAAAAATTATTTGAATCATTCTACGTATGGGTAGGTTCTTTTATTAATATCCATTTTAGTGATGGTAAAAATGAAATATAAAGAGGTTAGGTAACTAATCAAGTTCTGGTTTCTTAGCTATCTCCCCAGTTGGAATGGCCTTTATCAAGAAAACAGTAATAAATGCTGGCAAAGATGCAGTCAAAAGGGGAACCTTAATGATTTGTGGGTGGGAATGTAAACTGCTTGAACCACTCTGGAAAGCAGTGTGAAGGTTCCTCAAAAAATGAAACATAGAACTACCTTAATGATCTAGCAGTTCTATTCCTGGGCATTTACCCAAAAGATTACAAACCAGGATACAGTAAAGCCACCACACAACCATGCTTATTGCAGCACTAATGTAGAACTACCTTAATGATCTAGCAGTTCTACTCCTGGGCATTTTCCCAAAAGATTACAAACCAGAATACAGTAAAGCCACCCATACAACTATGCTTATTGCAGCACTATTCACCATAGCCAAGGTGTGGAATCAGCTCGATGCTCCTCAATAGACCAGTGGATCAAGAAAATGTACACAATGGAATTTTACTCATCCATTAGAAAGAATGATATTATAATTGTAAAGAATTGGAAAAAATTATGTTAGGTGAAGTCAGGCCCAAAGAGACAAAGGATCCATGTTTTCTCTTATATGTGGGAACTAGATTAAGCTAACAAACCCATGATAAAACATTGGGTGGAGCCGGGCGCCGGTGGCTCACTACTGTAATCCTAGCTACTCAGGAGGCTGAGATCTGAGAATTGCAGTTCAAAGCCAGCCCTGGCAGGGCAGGAAAGTTCGTGAGACTCTTTATCTCCAGTAAACTGCTAGAAAACTGGAAGTGGTGCTGTGGCTCAAGCGGTAGAGCACTCGCCTTGAGCTGAAGAGCACAAGGACAGCGCCCAACCCCAGAGTTCAAGCCCCAGTTCAAGCCCCACGACCGACCAAAAAAAAAAACCCAAAAACAAAAACGTTGTGTGGTATGCAAGTGTATATAAATGAAGTGTGGTAGATTCAAGGGAGGTCCCAAATAGTGTAATTTCTTAGAAAGCCGAAAGTTCAGTAAAGTAAAACACCAGAAGCAGGTACTCAAAAGGAGAAGTGGGGCCAAGGGGAAAATGGTACACGAATGAAGAGGAAGAGAATGCAAACAAGAACCTACGGTATATCCTACAAAATTAAGAAGAGTGGTAGAAAGGGTAGATAAGGGATGGGTGAAAATGTTGAAAGGGTGAATGGAGGGACATTGAACATAATAATTGTGTTCAAAAACTATTTTGTTAAATGGTAACTCATTTGCAAAATTACTTTCTGTGTGATATGTATGTATATGCATGCAGTGCATGTATCCGCATGTTTTTAATGAGATTATGGTAATAGGGTTTTTTTGTGTATTCCAGTCCTGGAGCTGGAAGTTGGGCCTGAGCTCAAAACTAGCATTCCACCACTTGATCCACAGCTCCACTTCTGGCTTTTTGATGGTTAATTGGAGATGAGAGTCTCACTGGGCTTTCATGTCCAGATTTTGAACCACTCACTATCTCATATTTCAGCCTACTGAGTAGCTAGGACTATAGACATAAACCACCAGTGCCTGTAGTTTTTTTTGTGGTGAAAAATATTAATAATAAAGGACTAAAATTTGGTTTTGTAGAAAAATACTATACTTAGGAAAAAAATCCAGCAAACCCCAGACAGGCATAATGTATTTACCATTTAAATGACCTGAAAAGTTTGTATTGTAAATATATAGTAAATGAAAGCATGATCAAGTAGAGCACTACAGTAATAGGTCTGGACTTTCATCCATTAATTCCCTTAATTACTTTGAGAATATTAATTTTCTGAGTCTTTTTTTTCCCACTTATTGGGAATGTACTGAAAATTTATAGATTGTTAATATTCAGGTATGCTGCTTAAGAATGAATTTAGCTTATCCTGGATTAGAGTAATAAAAGGAAGGTCAGTAAATAAGCTCAGGCTTTGACTATTATTTCATTCATGTAAAGACTACTTGAGGTGTTTGGGATTTAGCTCAATAGAAGAGCGTTTACCTGCCAAGTGCAAGGCCTACCCTGAGTTTGGTCCTCAGCTTTGGAGGGGGGCAGGGGGACACTTGAAACAAATGTAGTTCACTAATTCTGGAAATTAGAGGATTGGAAATAATACTGAGGAGAGAATCAAGCTTTATCTTAAAATTTCAATTATTAAGCTGAATTATATTCCTTTCTGTTAATTAGCATCATTATCTGTTTATTCTGGGTTATATTTCAGTATTTTAATGTTTTTGATGTCATTGGGAGTTGTGGATGTTTCAAAATACTTATTTGGAGGAAATATTTTTCTTTTTCAATTTAAAGCAATATGGTGAAATTGAAGATTGTCAGATTGATGATTCTTCACTTCATGCAGTAATTACATTCAAGACAAGAGTAGAGGCAGAAGCCGTAAGTATTAAAAATAAGCATAAAAATTCAGATTTTCATGAGGTGTATTCCTTCTAACTTTTAATATAAGTAAACTTTTAAATTTAATGAGTATCTGTTTTGACTAGGTAAAATATAAAATGACACTTGTGACTATGATGTCCTAATGTTGGTAGGTAATTCTGCATCTAATGTGATCATGTTATAATTATAGTGCATACAGTTATTAAGTCTAATGGCAAATTGTACTGTCTTGTGAACATCAAGATTTCTTACTATTTTTTCTCTAACAGTAGGGCCATCCCACTTTGATGTATTTTTTTGTTTCTGTGGCCTAAAACAAAACATACTTTGGAAGAATAAGTATAGAGAGTTAATTTAGGAGAAGTAGGGAGAATGTAATCATTTTGACTACTTTTCTTAATTATCCTTCACCTGCTTATTCCCAGTCCCTGTAAGCTGAATTCTAAAGAAGTGTTGGTATGTCAGCACACCCTCAAATATACTGCTATTAGTTTTTGCCCAAGACACAATATATAGCTCTAGATTTTAGAGTATTCTTAGTATAGTTGTTGTAAACTATATCATAATTTTTCTAAGGATTGACTAGAAGTATTTTTATGTGTCACGTGGGTTTCAGAGATTTTAAAAAGCAAAATTAGAGTGAGTTGTAAAGGATTTATGGGAGCTTAGTTTTGATATGTTCTCAAGGCACTTTAGAGAAGGTAGTTGTAACTTTTGTTTTCAACAAGGGCAAAATAGTTTTCTAGACAATCACTTTAAATGAACAGAACAGTTAGATGTAATTCAGAAGCTTTGAGTTGGTGATGTTCTAAAGAAGTTTTGAAAATAATTGTCTTGGTAAACTCTATTGACATATCCTTTATTTCAGTTTTACCTTTCTTTGTGGAAATGTAATGCAGTGTATACATTTTAATGAATTGTATGTATTTTCCAAAATGCATACAGTTTATAAAAAAGCAAGGATTAAAAAAGACCCAATACTAATTTTATGAAGATTGAATAAATGACAGAATAACTGAGGTTAGGTCTAATGAGAGCTACTTAGTCTAATGGCTTAGAAGGAATACCTACCACAGCTATGATTTACATTTGAAATTGTTATAAAAGTTAAGATGTAAACATTTCCTTAAGCCAAAAAGTACATTTTTATAATGTTCAGTTTTGAAAAGAATAGAAAATTAATTTAAAGTTTACTTTGTACAAACAAGATAGAGAAAAAATAACTTGTGGGTTTCAGGGAACGTTTAAATTCTTAAGTTTTTAAGAATTTAAAAATTACTCATTTTGACATAGAAATGACAACTTTGTTGAAGAAGAATGCTTAGAATGTATAGAATATTGCCATATACTGTCATCATTATTTTAAATTAAGATAAAAAATGTAGGAGTATATAGAGTAAGAAACAAAGGATTAGGACTAAGCAAAGAAAATTTTCAGCTAGTGTTTATTTCTAAATAGTTTATTGTTTTTATTTGCTGGAGCATCTAGATTATTGAAGGAATTTTCTTCAGTTTTATATGACCATGTTAGACACACAGTATTTCAAGGTGAATATAAAGGTATAAATTCATTGAAACATTCATGGTGAGATTAAGAACATGCACCAACACACCCTGCTTGTGAACATTCACTTATATTAAATTTATTAAGTATAAGGAATTAAATAACCTAATTTCATCAAGCAAATCTAGTATTTTCAAACTCACCTTGTAAACAGATATTCTATATGTTTGTTTGGATTTATTTTTGACTCTTTCATTGATTAGTTTTCTCTTCGCATACCACTTATAACTATAATCCCAGCCATCAGGAGGCTGAGTGGGTCAAGAGGATGGAAAATTTGAGACCAGCTTAGACTTTATACGTAGTGAGACTTTGTTTCCAAAACAGACCAAAAAAACCTAAACCATTCCCCCCCCCCAAAAAAAAGTTATTCTAGAAAATACCAGCAATAGTTTCTTCCTTTTTAGATTACTTAATTTTACCAGAATGAAGAAATGGGTTTTGAATAGGTATTTTGCATAAGATAACAGATTTCTTAGGAAACATATAATGGTTTTAGCTTCAAAACATTAAAGGTTGTTTTTGAAATTATTTAAGTATTTTTTAAAATTCTAGTTAAATGATACTATGATGAAGCCATGAACTAAAAACTCTAAGCTGTATTTTTAATAGTCATGAAATCTTTTAAATTTATCATAAATTTATTTGTGCAGATTCAAAATTTATACCTGGGGACTTTAATATCAGACAACTCATGTTCAAATGTCATTGAACATATAATTGTTTTACATTATTCTGTACTTTGAGATTATGCTATCAATCTTTGGTGAATGAGTTATTTCAGTATGCTGCTAATGTTGATTTATGTTCATGTTACTTTTATTTGAATGCACTGTTTACAAACTAGCTACTTAATGTAGCAAGTCAGATCTATTTGCTAAGTTCAAGTTTTTCTTATTCAGTTGTAAAGATTTATAAGAAATCCTGTTCATTAACAAAGTTCAGGGTTGTTCCCTACATACCTACTTCACAGCACTTTCCTTGAAATACTTATTCTTTAAATCAGATATTTTCATAATTGCAGTCATTTGATGTAATTTGAGGATAATGTAATGTCTTACAAAGTATTTTTATGTATGTTAAAAGTTATTAGATTTTATGCCTAATAAAATTCATTTAGCCTTTTCATGCTAATTTAGACAGTGATTTAGAAGCTTAACCAATATGTTGAAGTATGTTGGGATTATAATTATTGTACCAGTTACTGTGTCAGTTACTGGCTAGTAATGAAATAATTGTACTCAGTAGAAATTTTGTGTGTGTATGTGCGTCTCTGTGTATATGTGTGTATGTGCGTCTCTGTGTATACGTGTGTATGTGTATTCTGGATTTGAACTCTGAGCCTGGGTGCTATCCCTGAACTTTTTTGCTCAAGGCTAGCACTCTACCACTTGAGCCACAGCTTCGTTTTTTGGCTTTTTTTTTTTTTTTTTGGTATTCACAGTCTCATCAACTTTTCTTGCCAGGCCAGCTTTGAACCTTGATCCTCAGATCTCAGCCTCCTAAGTAGCTAGAATTATAGGCCTAAGGCACCGGTGCCTAGCAAGAAACTTTTCTTTTTTAAAGTATTTTGAATCACTAGTATGATTTTATAAATAAGTAAAAAAAAAAAAAAAGTTAATTGTAAATTATAATAATGAATATCAAATTGTGAAGTAACCAAAAAGCAAATAAGTGGATAGTTGATTCTCAGGTCAGCTTAACTATTTTAAGTTAAACACTGGACACTATAAAATTAATTTTTTTCTTAAATTATTAATGGTCTATACTCCAATGTTCTCAATTATTTTAGGCTGCAGTTCATGGAGCTCGTTTCAAAGGGCAGGATCTAAAACTGGCATGGAATAAACCAATAACTAATATTTCAGCTGTGGAAACAGAAGAAGTTGAACCTGATGAAGAGGAAGTATGTCTTTTCCCACTTGTTTTTATCTTTAATTGTTCGTAGTTTACATACAAAATGAGAACTGTGGATTGCTAATCCTAAAGGAATATATGAACACATACATGCGCGTGCACACACAGGTTTCATATTTCTAGAAAATAATATATACTTATTAGATTTTTATTCACAGGAAATGTTGCAATATCTTAAGTTTTAGAGTATCTATTCTACTTGAGTGCTGCCTTTAACATTTCAGCTTTCTTTTATTTTCATTCATATTGTTGTAGTTCATTAGAATGATTGACTCCTATATTGTAGATTTTTAGGCACAAAAATGAATAAGACACGGTCCCCATCATCAAGGAGCTTATAATTTGGAAAGGAGGGTGGTGGCAGATATTTAAGAAACTAATTATAATAATAGGCAGATTCGTGTGCCGAAGAAGGATTTGAACAACATGCTGGGGAACACTGAGGAAGTGGGTTTTTTTTGTTGTTGTTGTTGGTTTGTTTGTTTTTTTCCTGTCCAGGACAATCTTGAAGAATGCACTGATAGTAAAGCTGGGTTTGGGTGATAAATTAGCTTTCCATAATTAAGTGCTGGATCTGGGGATATAGCTGAGAGAAGTATTTTAGGTAGAGCTATGCTTTAGGAAAGATATGGAAGACTGAATTTTTCTTGAATAATAGCACTTAGTTGAAGAAATAAAGGTAGGATGAAGACATGAAATGATTCTGTGTTGCCTTTGTTAGATTTTCATAATGGCACTTCATTTTGTTTCAAGAGCATTTCAAGGCTGTTATGAATACTAATAGTCAAATGCAAGAACAAAAATGTATATTTTGAAACTCATATACATGATTTGTCATTTTATATTTTAGATTATACCTTTGTCCTTCCATGAGTTTGAATTGAATGGGGAAAAAAAGCAGGAGAGCACCTGGTATTAGGTATTTGAAAAGTTTGGAAATGCAGTCTTAAGAAGTTTTTATGAAAGGATTGAGGAAAGGAAGGAATGTTGTAAGGAAATATTCATTAAATGAAGCATAAAAGAAATAGAAATCTCAGATTTTTATACAACTCATTGATTCAATGTTCAGAGTTAGAGTAAGTCAGAGAAAACAGATGTTTTCTGTAAGTGTCAAGTAGTATTATAAAGATACAGAAGATGTCATAATAATGTGTCAGAGGCAGGAGATATGGCATGCACAAAGTCTTAGTTTGGTATTGAGTGTTTGTTTCATGGAAGCAGTCATAACTGGAGAGAAGTCATTGAATGGATAAAAGGCTTCCTTTGCTTTTTGAATGCTCTAGGTATAGGAATAACCTTTTTTATTTGACTCAGAAAGAAAAGTGTTTAAAAATGTCACCTTTTTTTCTTAATTTTTTTTCCTTTTTTTTCGGTAAATTCCTAAATACATTTTAACCTAAAGTTTCAGGAAGAGTCTTTGGTGGATGACTCATTACTTCAAGATGATGATGAAGAGGAGGAGGACAATGAATCTCGTTCTTGGAGAAGATGATTTGACTGATCATTGATCTGCATATGCTAAAACTGTACCTGTGTTTCATTAGTATTATCTAATGTACTTTTACATATTTGTAAAAACAATTTTTGGTAAAATGTGATGAAGATGGATTTCACAAATAGACAAAAGAGAAGAAAACTACCTTCTGATCCTGTATTTTGAAAGATTGATGTTTGCATTTTATTTCAGTAAACAGTTGCTAAAGACATCACCTAGAACATATGCAATGTTTTTATTACATACTTTTACTGAACATTACAGAATTCTTTGGGTTCTTTGTAATTTAATGAATAGGTTTGAAAATTTATGACCCAATACTTGTTATAACTTAGAGGATTTTGTTTTACTGCAAATAAGGAATGAATTTGCATTTAAAATCTTAATGAATGTTTTCAAAAATGAATTGATAATATAGTACTCTAACTAAAGTCTCCAAGTTATGTATTCATAATATTACATAGTAGTATGCTTAGGCTTTACTATGTATTAGCCTTTTGTTAGACTTGTGTATGTATTTTACCACATGGGTTTTAATGATAATGGTGTATGACTGCTTTACATATGAGTCCCTATGCATCTGGATGTTCAAAATAAAGTGGAATGGTCTTTTAAAAAGAAAAAAAAAGAGAGAAAAAAAAGAAAATTAAGACAATGTTCCTTGATTAAAAAAAAAGAAAAAAAGAAAAAAAAAAGAAAATAAATAGACCATTCCAGATGGCAATTTACCTTTCCCTTAGTTTTCACAGAAAGAGCTTTAATCACTAATTTAATAATGGTTACTTGATACTTTTACAATAATGTACAATCCAATGTTTAAAATTATTCCACTTCAGTTTTGATTTGATCCTATAAATTTTCAACAGATGTCTTAAAATTTAAAAGCAGGCTGATTAGTTTGGAACCAGACTTCAAGTAGTGCTAACATTTGGTGAATAAGAAAACATCATATTACATTTTGGATGTATGAAAGAAAACTTGACCATTTGAAGATGTATGAATAAAGAAATGTACTATAGATACTACTTTAGGAAAACACTGTTTGGTAAGTGTTCCAGTCTGATATTTTATGTGTGCATTTCCTATACTTGTATAAAAATCTTTGACATTTCCAAAAATTGTGATTTTTAAGTGAATTTCTCTGGCAAGTGAATATCGTTGAAAGTTGATATAGCAGTTTCCAGGGGGTGGGGGTGGGGAATAAATTCTTTGTAGAGTAAGGGGGTGGGAGATTACTGTGTTAGATCTTTAATTTGTTGCAAGTATTCCTGCCTCTCCAGACTGGTGATATTGTAAATCACATTTTTAAAAAATCACCTTATTTCATATTGGGGACATCACAAAAACTATTTCTGCCACCACCAGCCTTTTCTGAATGGAGTCACTTGTAAATACTGTTTTTATTTATCTTTTGTTCCCCTACACTTGGGGTTATAATTTTATGTTCTTGATACTATTTCATTGGAACATTTTGACATGAAATTAACATACATTTATATTTAAAATTTCAAGCTCATATTTTAGTTGTCAAAATACTAACTTCACTCAAACTTTACATAGATCTGATATATTTTATGTAGTCTTTTGTATGTTGACTGTGTGCTATTCTGATTCACTAGGTAAGTTTGTTTTCTTTTCTTTTTAGTAGTCGTGAAAGGTGCCAAATTGGCAGAGGCTCACGTTTCTTCTCTTTACACCAAACAGGTATTATAAAGAAAGTAAATCTTTCAAAAGCCAGTTAAATCTCTATGCTGATTGATACATGGCTTTATAATTTGAGCTTTTAACCTGATATTTTAAAACTTTTTGTAAAACATCTTTGTAATATACTGAAATTATCTACTCTGTATAGTCCAGCATATAAATACTCTCTTGCCTAGGACTCACTAGTAACTTAGAATTTAAAGTCTAAAGCCATGTCGATTTGAAGTTTGGCTTCCCTAGTATGGGAAGTATACCAACATTTATTAGGTTCAGTTATACAGTTATAAGCACTAATGATTTTAATTATGTACGTTACTTTTATGTTGCTATTTGAATTTTGAATTTATGAACATGTTTAGTACATACTAATACTCGTACATATACTTTGATATATTCTCATTTAAAAGTAGATTAAATTCTCATAGATAAGGAATCTTAGACAAGTAGGATTGGTCTGACTTACTCGAAGTTATAGCTACTGTTAGGACTAGATTTAAATTTAGGCTTTCTGATTTCAGCACCAACTTTAAAAATAGAAACAAAAGTATATAATGATGCTGCCAGTACTTAATTATGGTATATATATATATATATATATAGCAAACATGCCTCAAAGATAATGCACAAAATTAGAGGATTTCTTGGTGATTAGGCAGTTTATATTTCCCCTCCCTTTAATACAGCACTTTGTTCATATCTCTGTTATGAATCTTAATGTTGTAAAATAATTTATCTGGTTTATATGTCTGTCTTTCCCACTAGATTGCAAGCTCCTCTAGGAAGGGGACCATGTCTTATTCATCTTTTTATTTCTAGTGTTTATCATGCAGCCTGGCTCATGTAGACACTTAGATGTTTGTTGGATTAAATAATGAATGAGTGCATATTTAAATCTCTAGTAATTGGTGACAATTACCTCCCTTGTTAATTCTTAATCAATTTTCAAAGAATCTCTCTCTTGATGATCTTCTGGGTCATTGAGAGTGTTTTGTTAAACAATTGGTATGGTTAGGCTTCTTTTCAGAGGGGTTTCAAGTACTGATGGAGGTATATATATGTAATCCTAGTTGAATGAAGCTCTAATATTTTGGAGTACTAAAGATAGTAATTAGCTTCAGGGATAAGATTCTATTTAGTTTTATATTAATAGTGTGTGGTTATACTGGCCAAAAGCCACATATCTAGTCCATTCCACTCAGTTTAAGTCCAAAGGTGACCTACTATAGAGTACTGGATAAGGGTTAAGAGATTGTGCTTTTAGTTTCCATTCTATAACTGTGGTTTTAAACAAATCTCCTAACATATCCAGGCTTATTTCCTTGTCCCAAATGAGGGAAGTAAGTTGGATCAGAAGACTTGAAAGAAAATTTATTGTTATAAAGGTGATGTAGAGTCAGCTACAGATATATGTAAGTCAAGTAGAGAGTACATTTCTTTTTGGACAAAGTCACCCTTTTACCTCATCCAGTTTTTTCTTCCTGTCCCCATCCACAAGTTGCTAGTTCATTTTCAACTTTTAAGTTCCCTTTTAAGTCAATAGTTTTCCCTAGTCATGTTTCTAAACAGTTTAATATATTTAAGCCAATTCTCCCTATCTGTTATCCTTTCTATCATCAGTGGAAACAGTTTAGAATTGATTATATGTCTCAATGTAACTTTATATATAGTGTTCCCAAAGGCTTATTTATTTGCCCAGCAAAACTTCTATAAACTTACATGTGTACTAACACTTCCCTTAGCTTTTTCTTTTGCTTCTAAACTCAGAGTAAAAATTAGAATATTTGCTGCAATACACATACAGTCAGTGCTACCACAAATACAGAGTTAGGTCCTCTTCTTCTTTCTCCATTCATTCCCTTTACAATATACTGGCCAAAAGCAATACTTTTTAATTCTTTGACCAAATTGCTTACTGTTAACATCTGGGCTGTGAAGGCTGAGTTGAGAGTGGGAAAATTTCAAAGGATAATATAGGTAACAACAAAAAAAAAATTGAGGAAAATGATATACTATTGGTTAAGAGATTGATTAGGATTACCTCAAGGGATGGTTATGTTGTCATTTTACATAGTTCACTTAATATTGTCTAAGCAATGTTGTTTTAAATGTTATTGATCATTGTAATATTTTTAGAAGTATTTAATGCCCAAACATTTAAATGAAAATGTTGCAGAATAGAAGACTGTTCCATAGCTTTTGTTTTATTGTAATCAGGTCAAGTGTAATATAAAGACAAGACAACTGTTGTAGTTGATTACTTGGAGCAAGTGTGGCTGAGCTTAAATGACGACTATATCTTGTTGATAAAACTGCTTTAGGGGATTACTGTATTTCTATTCTTAGTTGTAACACTAACCATTGGTTATAAGGGCTCAAAGGAAGTAAAAAACAGTTGCTTGTTTGGTTTGTTAAATCAGTGGCGTTAAAAACTTGTCCCCTTACATGTAATGTAGACTAATTATAGAAAACTAGTTTTAATCTTTCTGGAATTTATGGAAATGTTTGTAAGATTGCTTCACAAAAGTCTTACAAAGAGTCTGTTAGTCTTTTAAAGTATCCTACAGTGAATCTGGCATTACAAAATTCATTTTGAGTCTTTCTCTCTAGACATTTCTCCTTTGAAAATCCTTTAAATTAAAAATGGAAATTTAATGTAAGACTAAGTCACCTTTATAAACTATTTGTAAGGCAGTAAGAACATTTTCTCTTCCCATATATAAGGAACTTATTGTTCTAATGTGTATATACAAGCCTTTAGAAAAAGGGTAGTTTTGTTTTGCTCCCTCTTACCATCATTATATGCTTATCAGATAAAACAAGTAGTCTTCTAAACAGCTATCTTCAAAACTCCTTTGGGAAAAAAGAAAAGTCTTCATGAATATGACTGCCCTTGTCACTCATTTCTAAGGAAAACATCATACTTGCTTAATAGAAAAACAACTTTTTATTAACTTTCTTGCAATTTGCATTTTATGCTCATGACCTAGTATGACTGAAAAGACTTGAAATTTTTCCCTATAATTTTTATAAAATTTTCATATTCACTTTCTAAATCTATTGTTTTTTTTATCTATACATTCATCTATCATCCTTTAATACCAGGCACTGTCTTATTCTTGAAAAACATATATGTATATATGTGTGTATATATATATGGATATATTGTGTGTTTATATATTATGACCTTAGTGCCTGTTTTATAAAGGACGATTCAAGAATAACATGATCAGAATATAAAATTAAGGAAATTAGGTATTATACAATTACTTTGAAATTTCTGGAAAACTTTTGTGTGTGTGTGTGCATGCGTGAATGTGTGCATGAGTGCATGTATGCAAGTGTGCCCTCGCGCCTGTCCTGGGCCTGAGCACTGTCTCTGATCTTTTGTGCTCAGGGCTAGCACTCTACTTCTTGGAGACACAGTGCCATTTCCAGCCTTTTGGTGGTTAATTGGAGATAAAAGTCTCATGGACTTGCCTACCCGGGCTGGCTTTGAACCACCATCCTCAGATTTGAGAGTCCTGAGGAGGTACAATTATAGGTGTGAGCCATTGACACCTGGCTCTCGGGAAATTTTTAAGAAAATTATTTTTTCTTTGATTTTTCTTTATCATGTCTTAGTTTAATCATAGTTTCTTAAAATTTCTTTGCCCACATGCAATAACATGAAAATACAATAGTTACTAGATTTCTTAATGAAAAATTTTAATCATAGTCATGTTGCCATACTGTGACTTTTATATCTTAATTTTTTAAGGAAGCACAAAACAAGGAGGTTTTGGTAAAATGATTTTAGCCCAAAACTAATCATTTGTGTAATATGTCTACACCTATGATTTTGATTTTTTTTAATGCTTGGAAAAGTTGGAGATCAGTTTATGGTGTGATTCAATTATTAGATTTATTTGCTATTTTCAAAGTTTTTTTTTAATAGTGTTCTCTTTTTTCAGCAGAGAGAAATCATCTTTGCCTGAATTTAGCTTTGTGACTACAAGAGCAAGACCAGTCCTGTATGGAGACGACTGTTAATGATAATATCATTCTATCATTTTGTTTGCTCTTCACCAATTTGAATAGATGTTTACATGTACTGTAATTAGCATTCTACCTTTACAGTTCTCTGAGAATACACCTGAGTCCAGAAGTATATCTGAATGTGTGCTCTGAATGTGTGATATTATTCATAGATATTTTCTTCCCTCTTCTAGCCTTTTATTTTTTAAATACCTTAAAAGAAGGAATAAGGCTTCTTGGTTTCCTAATATGAGATGTGTTAGTCTTGGCCAAACTAAGAATTGTGTCTAGGAAATCTGTATAGCCATGATAGTGTGTTTATTACTGTGAACAATTTAGAATGAAGAAAATGAATTAAAATGTCAAACCTAAGTTCTGTTTATTTATTTTCTTGGTTTTAGGATGTAATTTCTTGGATTAGGATAGTTGCTTAAAATAATTTTAAACAGATGGTAAAAATCCTTTTTAAGCACTATTTCTTAAGTTTATTGGTGTTATTGCTAAGGATAGTGACCCAAATATTTTTTAAAAGTAATTTAGCTCTTCAAAACCAACAAGGAGAATTAATGTTCTTTTGAAGCAATAAAAATGATCTGGGGTTTATTGATAATTAAATACACTGATTTTGAAAAAATAATTTACAGAGTTTTTTCATGCTTTTTTTACTTGTAATCAAGACATCAAAGGCAATTGTAAAAGCAAGGGAAAATAGTCTTACATGTTTGACATTGTTAAAGATTGTCACCTAATTTTAAAAGTACATACAAATGATAAGCAGTAAAGTTTTAGGATTATAAAGTATACAGCTTAATCTTACTATTTATTTACAGTATCCTTTTCATGAAGGGCATCATAAAAGATTTTCACAAAATTCCTGACTATTCATAAATTCTTAAAAAGTTGGAAGTTATACTTGGTATCAATTCTTTATTAGAAAAGTACAAAGTACATTTAATCTGTTGACTTTTTTAAAAAGTTCAGTCCAGCCAGGGTTTTTTCTGCCAAGCTATTCTGCAAACACGTTTTTTCCCTTCAGTATGCATTGTGATTGTCTTCATGAGTAATAAAAATGAATGATGGGGTGATTCTACCAGTTATAATGTAATGTATCTATTTTGATCCACACTGGTTAAAGGAAGAGTATGTATTTTGGAAAGTCTTGTATTAGTAGCCTATGTGTTACTACTTTTTTTAGGCTTTTTTTTTTAAATCACATTTGCAGACTAACAGAGTTTGTATAGAGTACGTAAATATTTTCACAAATGAGTTTGGTATTTTTTAATTTTTCAAGGATTCTCTGCCCCTCCTGTAGTGCAGTTGAAGTGCTACAGCTAGTTTAGAACCCAAAGAACATTGTTAGAAGAGACTGTACTTGCTGGTAACACTTTTGATCAGTTAATAGGTGTGGACCATCTACTATAACCTTCAACTTCATTTTTTCATCTTTCTCCCTGTGCTATTAAATTAAAAATAAGATAAAATTGACTGAGACATGCCAATTAAGATCATTGTGTTTTGAAAATTGCTGTGAGATCCAGTTGATCGGATATATGTTTAAGTCCTCATATATTGGTAAGCTTCTCACTTTTAAATTTTTCTTGAATAGGATTCTCATGGAGCTATGTGTAGATAACTGTACAGAGTCATTTTTGTGTAATTTGAATGAAGCAGTTTACCTCTGCATGATTGCATTATGGAAACCTTTTCTATGTCTTTATATTTTTCAATACTTAGATTTTACACTATTAGCCGCTCTAGTCATGCTATATTTGTTTTTTTTAAAGAGTTTATAAATATTTATGCTCAAAATACAGATCAATTGAATATTTTTTGGTCTTGTTTATGAGATAATACTTTAAAGTGATATAGACCCCTCAAGTGTCTTAGGAAAAAGTCATTGGTGCTACAGAAACTTTCAGTCTAAATTTTGAATTTGTTGCCTAGTCTTTGCTAGGCTTTACTCTAATGATTGCTTGTGATTTATTCTAATCTAACAGTGTAATTATGAAAGTGGTCTGTAGGGAAGCAGATTAAGAGCCCAACCATTAGTACATCTTAATACTTTAAGGAAATAATATATGACTACACACTTATTTGTGCCCAGCTTCCCCAAAAAGAAAAAAAAAAAGAATTATTTTGTATAAGAAAGGTTATTAATTTGATTTTTTTTTTTTTTTTGGGTCCAGTCGTGGGGCGCTGTCTCTCAGCTCTTCCGCTCAAAGCTAGCGCTCTACCACTTGAGCCACAGCACCACTTCTGGTGTTTTTCTATTTGCTTATGTGGTGCTGGGGAATCAAACCCAGGGCTTCATGCATGCAAGGCAAGTGCGCTACCACTGAGCCACCTTCCCAGCCCAAGGTTATTAATTTGAGTGAAATTTTTTTAAACAAATGATACATTTGGCATGGCTGTGTTCTCTTCATTTTCATTGCAAAACTTTTGTAGTCCTAAAATAGGTAAATTTGCTGTTCTTTACATTCCCATTTTAACAGGATTAGTGATTCTTAAGTATTATAAACATTTGATGAGTTATGAAGAGATGAGATAATAGCATCATGCAAGTTTACATTAACATGCAGTTTTTGTTTTAACCCCAAATTTTATTCAGCACCTGAGTGAATGTTCTTCTGATGTACTTATTAAGAATCAGCAAAGCCTTCATAGATGTTCAAAATCCTGAACCTGTTTTGAGTATAGTACCCCTTCAGAACAAACTGTCTGGCACAAGATTACCTTTAATACATGGTTTATTTTAGCTTAGTTATTGTGGACTGTTAAATCTAACAACACCAAAGGAGTCTTTTCTTGTCTGAAGACTGGATTGTTCCAGTATTTAATACCTGTGCCCATAAGTATCCCATTTCATGAATGTGTGTTGGCATGGGGAAAGAAAATTGCCTGCTCTTTGAGTGGAGCGCGAGTAATTGGTTAAGCTGTAGCAGCTTTTCTGTTTATTTTAAAAGTGATAATAAAACTTGAACTGAAAAAGGCAAAACTTGAACTAGAAAACTACTCTTGTCTGCTTAGAATGTGTATAATAATAACATGTGTATGTGGGTTGTCAACATTTTAATTTATAGTTGGATTATGTTTCTTTTGTTAAATATCCATAATATTTATTATTTTTATATTTTGAAAAATTTTAAAATAAAATAGTCTTACTAAAAACAGTTGTTAATGTTTAAAATTGTTCTATATTTGCATCAACTAATATAAATTATAGGAAGTAAATTTTGCATTCATTGGACAGTATACAGTTGAGAATTCTGAAGATTGTTAATCTGAAGTAGCACCACATTTCACTTACGTTGTTTTATGCTAATTTTAGCTCTAGTATGTTACTTGCCTAAGGACACTTGCCATTCACATATGAGCCTTCATTATTCCTTTTCCTCCTGGTTCCTGTTTTTTTAACCATTCTAGTTAGCTCTTCATTCCATGTGATGACCCCAAAGTGTTTCCTATAAAAATACTGTAGTACTATCTTAGGACTGCCATAGATTTTTAAAGTGAAGATACATATACAGTGCTCATTCAGTTCACAAAGATTGTTACTTTCACAAGTTTTATGTGCATTCTATTCTTGATCTGATTTTATCTACTTTGTCAGCATTTAACATGTTCATTTCACACTTTATTGTATGCCAACTGTTATATAGTCAGTTGTCTTATTCCAAATACACCTATCTGTGATGTAGGTTATGAAGGTTGGTGGTGACATGTGTTCTGCTTGTCACAGGGATTCCATTGAGATGCACATTCACATCTCAAAACATGACACACTTCTGTGAAACTTTGAAGTTACATACAGTTAAACATCCATGTGTGTATGTATATATACATATAATGACGGTCCTGTGAAGTATTTGCTGGTGTTGCCAAGCCTTCACAAAAATACTTAACAAGAGCTCTACAAAGAATGAATTTTGTTCATTTTAACCCTTTAAAGCTCAGGCATTTATGTATCATTGTAAAGCAATGAAACTTATCTATAAAGGATGGCTAGACATTGTAAGTGGGCTATATACTATTTTTACTTAAGTTTATTTGTGTGTGGGGGGGGCGGTAATAAGACTTGAACAAAGGACCTCACACTTAGTTTTGCTCAAGGCTGGTGCTCTACCATTTGATTCACACCTCCATTCCAACTTTTTACTGGTTAATTGGGAGATAAGGGTCTTGAATTTGTTTTGGTTGGCTTTGAATGTCAATTCTCAGATCTCAGCCTCTTGGATTACAGGCTTGTGCCATTGGCATTGGGTAAATTGTAAGAGTTCTGGTTTTGTTTTGTGTGTCAATGAATCATAAATGTCATGAATCAAATCTTGGTCACTTTGGGCCTTTACATTTTCAAATACAAACAATTGTGACCTTTGACATCTTTGTGCCCTGGATTATTGTTACTGTTCACAATGATTTGGCAAAAGTGATCAGTTTTTCAAAATTGTGAAACATTTTACATTCTTTTACAGACCTGATAATTTTTGTCTATATTATAGACAGCTAGGTCTTTTTCTAGTTTAACTTGTGAATAACATAAGTTCAGGTTTCTTTACATACATATTAGGCCTTATTGGGTTCCACATTGATTTTACAGCACTAATGAAATTATGCTTAATAAGGTTAAAAAAATGATGCATTATTGACACAAGTTGAATTGTTCCACAACATTAGGCTGCCAATATTTTGTGTATCCTGTTAAGTTACTTTTCTTGGAAATAATGTTTTTAATAATTTGTTATTTTTATACACTTTGAATAAGTTCTTGAATTAGTCTATTGGAAGGCATGACATGCTTATTTTTATTAAATTAGTATGAAAATCAGGATTGGAATTTTAAATACCATATTTACTACAAAAATACACAGACATGTCATGTAGGAAATCATAACAAAAACATCTACAAATTTGATTTTTCCAGAAGAATATTCGTGCTTTTATGTAAGTATTAGACAATGAAAAGTTGAATGACATTGGTTCCGGTATTTGAGGGTTGCGTATTTTTTTAGTTCTCAGTCTTACTTGCTTTTTAAAGCTTGTGATGTATATTCAAGCATCACAGTATTACATTTTGTACATAGGTGTTTGAGAATCTTGGTTCTTTGTGTATTTGTTTTTGAGAAATTTGAGTTTAAAAAGTATAATGTCAAATACGGTACTGTTTTTGAGTACAGTACAAGTCATAAAAAATGTCTTTAAAGTCCATGGCATCCTTCACATATTTTTAATGTTAACATGTTTTAACTCCAGATATCTCATTTAAGTTGTTTTTCAGGTTGGAAATGCAGGTGAATATTAATATTTCCCAAGATATCTATCAAAACTTTAAATAGTATGTGTCAGGAATATTTAGAGGTTTGGAGTATTTGCAATTTTGGAGTTAGAATTAAATGTCTATTGGAGGATTAGGCAGTTGGTAAAACTGCTTAGCAAATGTGAGCGCAAACCTCAGTGCAAGGGAAAAGAATATTGGATAATATTTATATTTTACAGGCTTGAGTTAACAGAAATTAACCTTTGCATACTGAGAGGTTATTTTAATAACCAGATTTAATAACCATATCAAAATTTTTCTTTAATAATCTGATTAGTTATGACAATCTTCACATATATTTATAATATGAAAATAGATGAAAATTAAACATTTTATAGAAATCTACACAAACAATAAAGATAGCGTTTTCTTTTTTTCAAGAAAGTCATTCATTGAAAAGGACATAACCTCCAATTTGAGTGTACTCAAAGAATAGAGACATCTAAGGTGGTGCAGAAGAGGGATTTGGGTTTAACTTAATCCTGCATTTGTGACAGTTCTATTTCAGATTAGAAGAAGCTGCCT